GTTCTATTACTTATTGCTACTAACTAGTTGTTCTATTACTTATTGCTACTAACTAGTTGTTCTATTACTTATTGCCACTAACTAGTTGTTCTTTTCATGGTTGATGGAAAACCACTGTTTGTACTTTAGCACGACTACTAATAAACAGTAGTTATATATTACTATGTCTTTCAATAAAGATAAACAATAGATATAACACCCCATGACATCCTAAAATGAACACTAAAACGGTTGGGAAAGTTAAATTGTTAGGAGTGATCGAACACATCATTGTTTGGTAATAAGTTCTTAATCTTTATTCAAAATGACTGGCTCACTTTCGCTTGCACAGCACGAGTTGAGTGCCTTCTCTATTGATTTTTCTAGTAATGTACTATGATTTCTCATGATTTTTTACAAGCTAAAAGCTTCTRGAGAACATAAATTATCGTCGCGGGAACGTTTTCAAAAAGAGTCAGCGTAAACAGTTGGATAGTCTTTGAAAACCTCAATTCCTTTGTGACCGTTGTTTTTTAATTAAGCTCTGGTATAGTGACTGGACGCATTGATATCGTATATCAATGTTCATTGGAATATTCCTGTTTATATAAAAATTTGTGACCATTAAATAAATGGGATGAAAGTTTCAAAATACTTATCATGACGACTTCTTTTAAACATTTTCTTGTGTTTGTTTCTAGACTTGTTTTTTCTATATTTCGTGACTGAAGTCTCGAACAATACTTCATGGCAAGTTATGGAGATCTTTACCAGTYACTGCTAATTTACCTGCAAATTTGATCAATATACGTTCTTATCACAATACACAAACCACCTAATCCTAAAACAAATATAGATCAAAAATTAAAGACATTGAGTGTATGAGTGACGCGGTGGAGTTCATGGATTCGTGAAAACCACTCGAGTACGAAAACGTCACCACCACTCATTATTACCATTCWAAGTTCTTGCGAGTTTTGAACTGCTTTGCAAGTTGTTTTCCTGTCATTTTTTAGACGAAACTTCACAACTTTATCTTAATCGTCAAACATRTGTCGAGGAATAGCCATGAATGATGAATAATATCGGGATAAATGAGTAGGAATCATAGCGGCACAGCTAATCTTTAACAACTCTAATTATGTTTTCCTTGCATCGTATTGTATAACTTTCGTTTACCTTGSAAGAGTAGGTTTATTTATCTAAATATCCTTGAAATGATTTTAAAATGACTTCCTTGTAAATACAAAAATTCTATTTTCACAATAAATTTCATTGTAAGTAAAGTATTATAAATTGTTATCTCGAGAAGTGATCTGATAAGTTTATTTCAATGAGAAAGCGTTGAATGTTTTTAAAATATTACTTARCATATACACCGTGAAACGCATAAAAACAAGTCTTMTCAAAGTTACCTTGTTTGCGAGTGTCTTGCTTTGGCACCAGTTGATTATAAATTCAAAGTGTTTTTACTTCTAAATTAATTTACATAGTAAGAATCCTGGGGCAGSAAGGGTCGAACGATGTTATAAACACTGTCGACTTGACTTTCAATATACTTTAAGGAATAAMAAAAGATATTTCAACACTTTAAAGTCATGATACGAAAACATTTTGAAAAAAGAAACAGAAAAATAAAGTAATTTACAGAAGGCGAATAATGTCCGCGCACTATGCGGCTATAATAAAAACATTGCACAGAAAAAAATATTTTAAGTTGAATAATATGAGAAGGTTGGAACAAATTGTAAAGATTAAAGTGATACGTACAAAGCTTGAAAACGGATTTTTCTGGTATTCTAACAAGAAAGATCAAGGAACATCACGAATCCACAAAGTGYTTCAGTTTTYCCTGACCTTTTCTTTATTTTGGTGTTAATTAATATWGTGRTTTCAACATGACTAAATCTAACGTACCCACAAAAAATAACATGCGTTTCTCTTTTTCTAGATTAATACTCAGATATATGTCGACATTATTATTCAGTCAAATAAAGTAAAAGACTACGTACAAGAACCTAGATAAAATGTTCTTATATAGATGGTACTTAAAACAAATTGAGGCTACCAAGGTTTTTAAGCCTTCTTCATTGAAATATATCATATATATTTATCACAAATATTGTGCAAAAAGCGCGCTACCAGAAATGTTATGTCAAGTTACTTAGGCGTTGATTTATTCAGTAGTTTCAGACACGTTTCCTGTATCCCCACTGATTCGTACAAGTAACGTACTAATTTTAGTTAGTCTCCAGCTACGTGGAGATGGCTTTAAGTGAAAAAAAGAAATTACCCTCTGTATGACCATAACAAGCAAACAGAGTTAATATGCACTTGTTTCATTACAATAAAGATTTAAAAACGAATGTTTTATTTTGTAATTTGAATCTCAGGTACTTGTCGTCATTAACGGTTAAAAATCAGTTAGGGACCAATGAATTCTGTTGTCCTGTTGTAAATTTGGAAAAATATAAAGAGCTGAACTGGATATTTACAGCAAAATGCCATCATAAAATAGAGGCAATAAAACACGCAAACCACCAAAAACACACACACAAAATATGCAAAGCAAGGATTTCAATTTTTAAAAGTTGATATTCCGTACATTTTCTTTTTAAGTGAGTTCAATTTGTTTGTTCTTGATTTTGGAAGTTGGAAATTGTCTGTTGATGGTAATCTTGTTTCATCTATCTGTGAATCTCGCAAGCAAGTGAAAAAATGTCTAAGGAATCGTTTTAAGAACTTAAGGCTTATTTAAAGTTTTAAGCAAAAACGTTTACAACTATTCTACAATTCCTTAGACATAATATTTGCTCTATTAGTATGTTTTATTAGTATGTTTTATTAGTATGTTTTGTTAGTATGTTTTATTAGTGTGTTTTGTTAGTGTGTTTTTTTAATGTTTTTTCAGAGGTAAAACTTTTTATCAGAAGATGACTTAATTAGTCGTAAACGTTTGTACTTAAAATTTTAAAAACGCCTTAATTTCTTAAAACATACTACTAATAGAGCAAATATTATGTCTAATGAATTGTTCTTGAATTTGAGCATAAAAATTGAGGTACAATAAGGTTGTATAGTTTGAATACATTTAGTTCCTTGAATATATATGACTAGGTATATGAGTAGTATAAGCTCACAGCGTACAGGTCCTTTTCTCTGCTGATTTTAATCATTAAGTGAGACATACTTTTATTGGCAACCTTGACTACATTTTCAACTCACCCTCGGCGCCATGTTCTCATCCTTTCATTGTTTCGTTCTTGAATGATTTGAATGAGAGACTGAGTATAAACTTTGAAGTTTTCGAATCGGGTATATTTTCATACGTGGCAGATCATRCAAACAAGGCCCGAGGGTTTTTACTAATTGTTTTGTAAATATCATGGCTAATAGACTATTACATTTACTAGTTTATAAAACCTTCAAAACCGTTTTATCTTTGATCCCGCTGTGCATTCTTACATGAGAGCTGTGGATTYCCATAACGATTTGTACATCTTGGCTCACTGAAGGCTGATAACACAGCTGATAACACAAGCTTACTCATCATGTCTGTATTCTAGGTTGGGTAGCCGCGCCTCATTAKAATTAGGGGCCTCAGGCATCCCAACGGACTACTCTGGCTAACTACCCTTATTTTATTTTATCCAAAACTTACGTATATGGAATAGAAAAGATTGGTTTCTTATGGGTAGAAAACATCCAGAACGTTATACAATTTAAAGTGTTTCTTTTGACGTCTGTTGAGCTGTTACTTTCCTTCTTGCACAGTTGTTTCACAGAGTACCTCCCAAACTCAAATTCTGTAGATATGGTCCCTTGGGGCGAAATCCTTACACAAATTCTTGAAAATTTATTTTGGCTCTCAATTCCAATGTCAATGTCTGGTTATCGTGTCTATAATCTCTTGATAGTTTTTGCGTTTTATAATAAATTAGTTGGTTAGCATGACCAGGATGACTATTTCATTCATAATGAAAGGTGAATGTATTTTAACTAAGTGATCATCTAATCTTTGCGTGTAAAGAAGAGTTATGTTTTGAGCAGAAAGGTAGACTGACCAATCATGTTCCAAACTCACTTATTTTAACATAAAAACCGAAGTCTGGATCCGGTAATCTTCGCATTGAGTTTATTTGAGGAACGCATTCCCTGTCAGTTTTAGAAGAAAGAGATCGACGGCTAGTCATATTGGTTTGCCTACTCTCACATACCAAAGACGAGCCGAAATTGAAATTCGATGAAGATTTTTTCTCTGAAATTTGAAGATGGGAATATAATATCACAATTATTATAGCGGTTACATTACGGATGGYTGTTGAAGAAAACGGCTTGACGACTGACAATGGGAYAAAAAAAAATACTCGATTTCCGCTAATGACTTTGTATACTTTTACGTCGACCAAGAAGAAATCTGTGGACATACGATTAGTTTATGAAAACACGCACTCTCTGTGAAAAAAAAAACAGTGTTTAAAACAGTCACGGCCATGCAGATGGACAAAATGTCTCAATCCACATAAATGTTTTCAATTAAAGGTCCGTCAAARTAAGGGTTGTGTAACGTTTTCGTTTTAATCGTCTCGAAAAACGACTAGGAGCCGTGTTATCCTTCGAGGTATTGATCGAAATTGAAATTCAGTTCTATTACAATGAATACACATGCTGGTACACAAAACGTTCAGCTGCACTAACGCATTAATTGTTAAAAATTGTCCTTTACTATAATAAAACTAACAACACAAGTAAARTAGTATTGTCARTATCAACTAACCTTGGAAATCCTTGTGTTTAGGCTRAGACAGAGACAGCTTGTTGTTAGCTTTGTTGCTAATTTGAGTTCCAGTTATTGTCAAATTTCTTTGCGTTGTGCTGTAGGTAATAGAATTGTTAAGATGTCATGCCATGATCAGGTTGATCAGCTCTTCACAGCATTGACATTTAGTGTCTGAATAGTAATGACAGGAATAATCATGCAATACGGGCAGTCTGCAAAACTATTATTACATCCTGACTATTTATTGTTCAGTTTTGAAGATCATTTGCGTTGAATTACTATAACGATGCAAAGATTAATCAGTGAAAATAATCGATTTGCAAATTATGGATATCTCGATTCCGCACATTGCATATAAAAGGGAGAGAAAATTCACAGAATCCGTTATTACMGAAAGAGATTTTATACACCTATAAAAGCAACAGACTGTTCTAGAAATAGCGTGATAATCCTGGAAATAATTTTTCGACACTTGAAACCGTTGATAAAATCTAATTAGTAGACTACAAAGTGATCAGATGTAGACACAACGCGTTTGCAAGAAAAGCCAGCCAGTCTACTATCTAATGATGGCCTTCAGTCGCAAAAACGTTTAATTTTTTTTTCAATGTGAAAGATTGCCAACACAACCTTTATTGATCAATTGTTGAAAGGCCATTGTTAGATGTTATGGTATTTTACACTTTTCCCATATTATTTTGGTGAGCATATCATAAAGTACACGGAAACACTAGACTCTTCTCTAGTTTTTCTATTTCCCATATATCCATTCGGCCCTAGCGTCTATAACTTTTTAACAAATCTATCATTGAGATAGCCTGAAGGTTTTTTGAGTGGTTACTAYTACTGTACATATATAGTAAATCGGATTCCCTTCAAATAAGTTTCAAATAAAAAAAGTTATTTAAATATATCATGTCAAAATCTRCAATGGTTTTATAGCAAAAATCTCTTTCACGCTACCTTTATGTAATCATGGAAACGAACTTGCACACGAATAATGCATTCATTTGTCAATTAAATCGAGTTTCCTGATAATTCTCAGATATATTTGTTGATTGAAACCTTTTAGTAGTTTTTATGGCCTTGTTTATTCCCTTTGGACGCCATCGTGTGATAATTGTTTCAATAATGAGGTGTTAGCTTTTAGCGGATAATATTGAATTTGCCCATGCAAACTACTCGACTGTTTTCTTAAAGGATGTTAGAAAACTGATCACTGACTTTCCTCTTGGTTTAAATGATAACTTGACAAAAAAGTAGACGATCAAATATCACTTGTGTCAATAATAAAAACCTCAACATTATGATGACAATGATGAAGATGATGATGATGATGGCTATCATCACTAAAACTATAATAAGATTCAAAAGGAAATGAAAAGACATTAAATCCTCGATATATATCTTGCGCTGATAAGTATAGACTTTATCAATTCATCTTTAATAAAAATAACCATATCATTTTAAAAATTATTTCATCATCTTATTCAACTTACTTCCGACAAGTCTTCAAGAGTACCGAAAGTTAACAAACGCTCTGATATATACAGCTGTTTAATTGTCTTTCAAAAAAGAACATTTCTGTTTCTTTTAATGTTTTTCTTTCTTGTTTTTTTTTCACATACACCTGTTTCAAAAACCGTTGTCGGTGAGGGCGGCGAACGGCGATTGCCGAAGGAAGAGTGCGTCGATGAAAGGGACTATGGATGCGCTGTTTAACATACAAAAATTCCACTTATAAGGCTCGCTTTGTGCGAAATTCGAACCAGTATTTAYCACAGACATATCTTACAGTAGAAATCACTTATTAATCTGGTATTGAGAAGCAAAATGGCTCCCTTCGATCTTCTTTTAGCATTGCAATTCGTCATTTTATCGGACAACCYTTTTTGAATGCTTTAGTCCCTTTTATGGCTGCAAAGGATTTAATAAAGCTATCTATCTATCTATCTTTCCTTCTATACGTTTTAGTGTTTAAAAAGTAGCTTTATATTTCATCCATAATTCAAGAAGCACTTGAATATTGTTAAACAGTAAAATAGCAAAGTAGAAAGATACACAAACAACAAGAGTATGTCATAATTAGCTGCTTCGAAACTATGTCTCAAGAAAGTTTGGCTGCCTATGACATATCACTAAAAACAAGAATTTGATGCTCTTTTTGAATAACAAATAAATTATGATTAAGTGAGCTGTTTGGTCCACAAGGCCGACCATGCTATAGATGTCGTCTAACTGTCTTATGATRTCATGGGCTCCATCTTGATTCCAATTAACGTACTTTTAAGATCGAAATGAATTCTTTTTATTGGTGAACTATAACCCAATTAATGTTTTTGCAAACGTTTCAAATTACTTTTCTTTCATGCATTGATGTTTTTCACATCACTGATCCATGATAGTCCCAACTGTAATGAGTCTGACCCTGCAYCAATGACGGTTGCRGAGGAGAATTGCGTCTGSTTATGATGTTGATCAGCACCCGACAGATCACTGACTTAGTCGTAAGACGTTTTTTAACATGCATGCATAATTTGCAAGAGTTTGTTTTTCTCATTTGACTGAACTTAGATTAAAGAATATGAAAAGAAGATTATAGGATAGACTTCTAAACACACCATTCAAAGCTTTACTAGTCGGCCGCTCTTTCAGCTCATTGTCTGACAATGTACCACCAGACTATTAATGCTGAAAGCAATCTTCTATCGTTCCTGGCGATCCCCTAGTGTATTCGATAAGATAATGGTAAAGTAACAAACATTTTATATCAACAAGCTTCGTTGATTCTCAGTGCAAAATGAGATCAWCTTGKACGTGTATTTGACATCAAYGATTTACAATGAAGGCAAAATAATGAAAATGATCATTAAAAATTAATGAAAATAATAACTATTAGACGACATTACTACTGACAGTCTTCTAAATTGAAATTATAAACTTTTGTTATTTTAAGCAATATAGTTATTGTTTTTTCTTTTCTTTTTGACAAGCTTATTCTGTTATAACTAAATGGGGTTTCTTTTCTATAGGGGAAGCATCTGTTTGTATGTTTTATGATTATATATTTGAAATGTTTCATGTTCTCTCTTGGTTGCTATTGCAAGGATTCTTCTCGAGTACAGTATATCAATCAAAGAGTTAAATCTCGTTGAAATCGTAATTTTTCCAAAGTCGTCCACGTTTTCTTAACTTGACCTTGATTTGTCAATAAATGTGAATTTTGCTAAATTCATATCATACTCCTGGATACTATSAAAATCATTTGAATGTTTCACTCTCAAGGCATTATATATTGTGAAAATACTTTGGTTGTCAAATAATGTCTATTTATAAGAGTGACTACACTTGAATGCTTACCGCTGAAATCATGAGTCATAATGAAAATTTCGAATTTAAAACAAGCTTTCAGCTTCAYGTCAGTAAGTGAAAAMATATGTCGAGAAAAGAAGGAAACGGGCGATTCTAAAATTTCACCTCGGTCGTGTTTACCTTACCTCCAAGATGGTTGGGTCCAAATTGCTGGTTTGATGAGCACGATGGTCAAAACAAATGGTTTTATTCCAATCTATCATTTGCTCAATCGCTAATTGTCCTGACTGACAACTCCAGAAGTTCTTGGAAGGTTTAATTGAATATTTTAGAGAGTCAGGTCACATCAATAGGACGACCCGCGTCGTCATGAAACAGCTGAATACAGCAACACTCTTTTTATGGTCAGGTGCATTCAGTTATTCGCCCATTAGACATTAATTTGTTCTTTCATTCACCCGTACATTATCCATTCCTATTCATTCATCTTCACCTGAATCATTTAAAGGCCCAGTGTGCACCATTATGCTTTGGGGCCCTCGGGCGGCCATYTTCAGTTTACTGAAAGTCTATAAATTGTACTGTGTGTTTCGAATCTTTGACCATCGCACTTTTCTAAGYACTTTAAACGATAATGTTAGAGTTTTCAACCATCTTACTTAATCTTTTTATGGTGATATTTGGGTACAAGAATTATTTTGGTGTAAATCATAACAATAACAGAGGCGCGCAAAGCATAATGGTGCAAACTKGGCCTTTAAACAGTTTTGAATTCAGTTTTTATCGTTTAACAGCAACATTGAGGGTAATCTCACAAGGAAACACTCTATAGGTTGATTTATAATCAGTAATGTCTTTTCTATATTTCCACTATTGTATTAAACTGCGAATTTAATCATAGTCGATTCAATTAGACTCCAAGTTCCTTTCTGTCCCTCGTGAGACTAGATTGCTATAGTTCAGAAAATTCCCCGAACTTGCCAAATTTAATGGACTTTGATCAGCTTGTAACATTCTAAATGAAATATCGATGCACAGGAAATAATGCTTTATTTCAACTCACGCCGGATTTTTATGCAAATGTCTTTCCTCAGGCAGCTTCACCTTATAAGGATTTAGATCATTTGTACTTTAGGCTCAGTCCACACGAGTCCACGAGATCTTTACGGAATATCCGGATACAAAGATATCTGGATCCACACGTAGCGGATACGAACATGTTGTGCACATGTTACGAACCTGAATATGTCTACAGAGCATGCGCATTACATGCTGTGATGTCATCTTATACAAATATAATCAGATACGATTCAACACATACTGCCGAAAAAACATTATAAGCAGAATTTCCACTTTGAAGATCGTATACAATAATCTCCCTGCGGACACACCAATGGCACATTAAACACGCTTGCTGTATCCGAATAAAAACATTTTTGGATATAAAAACCGTGTATATGTGGTGTCTTAGTAAAAAGGGAATTTAATCTCAATAAAAACAAGATCTCGAGTTGAACGCTTCCTTGCGTCGTTTCCAAGTCATTCCGTTTTATCAAAATGAAATATGACTTGAATCTCCATAATGCACTTTATTGTCGAAAGCGGGTTTGAATTCAGTCATTCAGTTCTGCATATATAATTGTCCGTATACCGTATTAACTAATATTAAAGCCTTTTTTCCTGTATTCATCTTATTGATTTTCAGTTATTCATAATATTTAACAAACTCAAAACTAATCTTGAAACCAACACATTTAAATTATTTATTTACTCTAGAAGAATCTTTCTTTATTTAATGGTACGGCCATATTTTTATTTATTTATTCATTTGCTTTTCATTATTTGATTTCCAGATTGCACCGAGGGAGATCATAACACTAGTAAGGCAAATCTAAGATTGTCAACAGCAACTGAAAAGACAACAAGTCGCGATGTTATTTTCATGGTTTGTGTTCTAAATTATTAATATATCAGTGGAAGAGAGATAAGGTATTATTCTAATTTTTCTTGATTAACATCTGCTGTATAGGTTAAACGTTTTAAACGTTATTGGACGAGTTTTTCGTAGACTGCCCTMGGGATGTATATATGTCTTTCGAGATACCAACCAAAAAAAATTTCAAATTTGGAGCAGAAAAAAAATTCAAAGTTGGACATTCGTGTTCGAGTAGGATCCGGAAAACAGCCCCCAAAACACAGTTTAATTCCAGTTAATTAATTTGTATTAAATATTCGCGTTAATTGTCAAGTTGGGGACCGACTCGTAATGACTCGTAATCTATTAATCGGCTTTTCTTGGAACGATTTATGAACAAAGTGAGGACATAAACACATAACATAAAAGAATTGTATTTCAAGAAAAAAGACCGTTCTTATCCTTTGCTTAGAGATCATTAAAATCTTATCGTATAATTATCCATAAAGAAAAACACTTTCGAAACTCTCTCTACGCTCATCGTGAGAGATCTATCCAAGATAAAATCCGTATCTCCGCGCGCCCATGTAATATCCTCAATGTATTATATAAAAGAGTTGGAATATAAGTTAGAATATATACATTTTGTTTTTCCAAGAACAAGAAGAGCATTCACATGAAGTTAGTAACATTAGTAGTTAGTAAGCCAGACAAAGCATTTCTTCTCGTTTTCTAGGAAATCAATATTACCAGTAAATACTGGAAATTATAACCAAACCAATGACACAGGAAACTGTCTCGTGCTGTTGTTGATCTCAGTAAATGGCACGGTGGTGTTAAGGAGCTTAAAGCAAAGCAATCTTTWTTTTAATGGTGTCGTAAACACTATTGTCCTTTGCACGGTTTCATCTTTCCATGACGAATAGGTGTTTGACTAGCTTTCTACTAAAAAAATACCATATTGAACTTACAGATGTTCTAATGAAATTTAACCACATGGATTTCAGCTGGATCTATTTGATGACCAGGCATTTGAAGTCCTTTCAGTGTGTGTGTGTGTGTTTTTTTAGTTTTCTTTTTTCAGATAATACTTCCATGACTTTGCTTTACCATTAATAACCAAAAGTAGAAATACCAGGAAATAATGCTTAATTGTTTTGGACTTTAGTGATTTTCGACAGAATGGCGYACGGGACGTTATCAGCGATGTTGATAATATTACGGTATTGAAAAACTCGACATCTTTATTTACGMAATTCTCAGGTTCTAAAAAGTACTAGTAGATCATTTCCATTTTGTTGCGTTAAACAAAACATAGTCAAGTGTATGTTTTCAGTGTAAASTGACTTACCTTAGWTAACTGACGGTGATTCAATAACCGGTTGTATACTGGCAAAGAAGGGGTCTTTGTTTTTTCAAGTATGGTAATACACTTCCGGAACTGAATAAGAACGTATTAAGTGTTTGTGAATAGTGCCAAGACATTKATGGATTATATTATCATAGATAAACATAATAATAAAGAACAGATCCACAAAGATAGATGCGGCGACGTTCATTGCGAACACAAATCATTATCATTTGATGTTTGATGGTTTGGGATGCAGTGTCTATTGGTAGATGATGTTAGTGGATGTAATGGTGATGTTGTTGGGTTGTGTGTTTGGTGGGTTATGTGGTTGGTCGGTTGTAGTGTTGTTGGTCGTTGGTTAATGTTGTAGTTTTGATGATGGCAGTGAATGTTAAGGAAGAGTGTTTGAGATGAAGAACAAAGATCACGTGATCCTGATTAAAGTTACACGCGCAAGTCACGTGAYATCGTTGCAAATGCTATGATTGGAGGATWTCTTGGTGYTTAATAAACAGTTTATCCATGAAACGGAAATTAGCGGTTGACCTAAATTAATATCTCTATGGAGATAAATGAAGTCAAGACCGAAAGTGATGTTAACACCATMAAAATGAGTCAGTAATCCTTCAGCATCAATTCTTCTTCTAAGGTTTTTGTTATAAACCAAAAGTAAACATCGGAAACACAAATATCAAAAGAATATAATATGCTGGTATTAATGACCAGTGAACTAATGTTGGTCAAAATTTTTAAAAATCTTTGCTATGTGTGTGGTAAATACAAGGAACTGAAAAACTTGCCGTCAAAATGATTATTTCACCAGATGCACTGCTGGTGGTTCGCTTTTTTCAGATTTTTTTTCTTAATCAGACATGCAAATCTTATYTAACAACTGAGAAAAAAATTGATATGATGCTAAACTGTGATTCAAAACTCATCGTTAGCTAATTTCGTTGTTYTAAACATGAACTCCGACCGTTTTACATTTTGTGAAGGAGACGTCAAAGCTTTTCTGCCCAAACAAATCAAGTTTARACTTTGTAAAATCGACACTAAAACTGATTTATTGAATAACACATCAAGATTTCTAGATTTTAAGTTTTTTTAGTGATATGAGCAATATTATAGATAAGTTAGATATGTTGTGACTTTTTCAGAAAAAATGTAACACTGTGGTCTCTGCCACATCTCACCTGGATCAGMCGATTTTCCTGATATTCTTGGTGTAATGTTTGGGCTTTGAAGAAAGAGCAGTTTTTTTRTACCGACGATCTGTTATGATACATAGTATCGCTTTTCACATATCAATAGAATTCACACGCACCGGGGGGTATACTAGTGGAGCTGCTTGTTCTTGTATATCGTTTTAGATCACCGAGAAAGTAGCGGATGTATTCATCTGTCTTTCCAGACTGAATGTTTTTTTTTTTGTTTTTTTCAATCAAGGCTATACCTTTACTGATCTAGTGAGGATTCTGTTTGCTTAGCTTGCGCCTTGCTGTCTTGGTTTAGCTATAAATAGGCTTACGCTGTAAAACGTAAGGATAGACTTCACAAATGCTCATGAGGTCAGATTAACGAGTGATAAGAAGAATATTAGGGAACCTACATTAAGGCCCAGTCCCCACTCTKCCAAAAACAACCGTCATAAAWCAACGAGAGACTAAGGACAAGAAATATTGATACCAGGTCTGAAATGTAGTTGTTTTTGCGCTTTGACATGTAATGGATTATTTTGAATACATTATAAACTATCATTACTGATAAACCCGGTTGAATTAAATTAGAAAAGAAAACTAGTTAAGATAATATTAAAAACCGCTAATGTGTGTAAAGAAGACTGTGCGTGTGGTGTGTGGTGGACCTCGGACCGAGTTTCTTATGCCATTGAGATGATATATAAATATACAAATGAACCGACTTGGACGCAGCTTGATTATATCACAATTAAGATTCTTAATGGACAATGGAATAGAAACATAATTAATTATAACTCCATAATTAGAGASATGAAAAAAGTAGACTCTCATTGTTTTTTTTTTTGTCTTCATCAATCTCCATAAAACTATGGTATATTTTCATAGGCGATGGAAAGACGTATGCCRRRCGATGTAATGGCATRGTGAGGACGCCTGTGTGAAATTCATTCGTTAGAACTCGTACAAAATAGAATGACAGTATCCCATGCCGTTATCAACAAAYAGACTAGTCTAGTTGCGGATTATATGAAAATGTTTCTGTAGAAATAGCGTCAGAAAAAAGAGCAGGATTTTTTTCATAACGCCCTGGCCCATACGTTTTCAAGGTCATAAGTGTTGTAAACGTATCRATGGCATTTTTCCTGGAGTTGTTCGATATCGTGTTATTACAGATAATCCTTCAGTCAATACCATAAACATCTTCACACAAACTTACCTAAACACGATAGAGGGTTGACTCGTTGCGTTGTAAGCAGCTCAATGGTTCACAGAGTATCATATCCAATAGATGCATGACTTTGTATTGGTAAGGCTGACCAGCTTGAACTGGAATTGATATTTCACTCAGCTCTATTATGTACAAAGCTTGTCATCGACGGAGAGATGGCTTGTGATCTATACTAATGCAAGAGTGACCTGTGTTGTCATTATTGTAATGTTCTGACTATTTTTATTGGTAAAAAAACGAACTTAATGTATCAAACTATAGTGTATACTAACAGTCAATGAGATTTCACTTACCTATTTAATAATGTCAATATTTAKTTAAATCGTTGAATTAACAAAAAAGCTCATCAGTTGATTGAAGAACATAGTGGTTTCTATTAAACCCTTGATATATTAACAATGCACCTGTTAGTAGTAGTAGTTGATGTAATGGGTGCAAAAAGACGACAGTACTGAAGGAACAGAAGTAATGACGAGTACGTGCGTGATCAACACCCCTACGCACTCCTCCCCCGTCAGTAACGATTTCCTTTCCTAAGCTGATGTAATGAACAATTTGTTAAGATTGAATTCATAAAACGGAAAGATGTAAGATGCGTAGGTGTTTAGATGTCACCATTTCCTTTTGCTAATTATACCAGCACATCCCACTTTAGTTACCAGTCTCTCTCTTGGTGATCTAATGGAGCGGATACAGTAGTATACTGGTGCCCATTTAGGAATTGATGCATTTTTCATTTTCTTGCAATAATTATGAAAAACTCAGAGAATTTTTAAAACCAATTGCCTAAATCAGTTAATAATATTGAAGGTGTTTCAATCATTTGATAAATGCACGATAAGAAAACCTATAATTAGATTGTATCACTGCTGAAATGGTGAGAGCCCTTAGGCCGCCCCCAGCGTGATATCAGCATATCTGGCGGAACACACCCCCATACACACCCCAGACAAACAGATGTCATTCATTGTGGTTTACAGCTAATAAACTGATTAAACAATTTACAGTGATAAATATATAACAAATATATGATGTCAACAAAAATCAAATTTCTCTAATTGTTTCACATTTCCATTAGGAATGTTAGACACTACCGTGAGGTCCTCAATTCATAAATGTATCATTTTGTCATAGTTTTTTGTATAGACCTCGGGAATCTATTACGATTTCATTTTCACTTTTAAAATCTTCACCTGAGACGTGAAGAGAAAGTAAGGACTTTTTTCCTTCCCATTTTCCATTTCTAAGGGATGTTTACTAATTCTTAGTTTTTTTCATAATATTTTCATGATATAAATCGTTTAGGATGTACGTGATTTTTTTATGAGTCAAGTTTGCGGCGAATTCGGCGATAATACTTGATTTGTAATCAAAACTAATGAATGAGTTTCCAGTAATTTGATCCCTCGCCAAACGCAATGCATGCATGGATTGCGTTTGGCGAGGGATCAAATTACTGGAAACTCATTCATTGTAATGAGAACAAAATCAGATATTGCTAGTCCCAGCGGTTGGTTCTCTCTCAATTATTTTTGTCTATATTTCCATTCACAGCGAACAGCGTGATAAGTGCAGCAATTGGAGGCCAGAAAACCTTTTATGATAAACTAACTATTCCAAGGGTTTGATTGATCGCAATAACCAGAGTACCTGATGTATAGGTTGTGTTCAAATCATTTGCAGAAGAACATCTTTTTGTTTTGATGGACCAGAACATAACACAGTGTTTGCAATTCGGTGGAAAATACTTAACATGGTCTGGTGCATCACATCGTTGCGATAGGCGTAGACAAAAGGGTTGACTGCACTATTGCTATAATGCATCCATTTAACAAAGTCAACTAGTCGACGTTGATTTTGACCGATAGGTAGAAGAGATTCTTTGAATGTTGAGATGATTGAACATACAAAAAAAGGCATCCATGCGATTACAAACAGCGCTGTGATGATGAATACGGTGTAAGCAGTTTTACCCTCCTCCTTCGTACCGTGTCGAGGGAATCTTTCTTGAGTTTCTTTCACGCGTCGATAGATATCAAAATAAATCATCACCAGGACGACTAATGGAATCGCAAAACCACCTAAAAATACGACAAGTGCTCTTGCGACAGTCTCCTTGAGAACAAGCCAGCAAACAGATATAACCAACGCCACAAACCACGCAATACAAATCATTGTAACATTAAGTCTTTTAAGTCTGCCATGTGGAAATAGCATCTTCGAGTTCGCTGACAACACAACGCGACGTTCAATACTAATCGCAACGAGATTGAATATCGAAGCCAATGCACCAAAGATGTCGAAGACACTAAGGATGCGATTCCATGATGTCCTTATCGATGGATAAAGAAGAACAGTGATCCAATACGGGATTGGTACCAACCCGACACATAAGTCTGATATAGCAAGACTTACAAAAAATACTGTAATTCCTTTACGAAGTTTAGCGTTGATGGTATAACTTGCAATGATAAGAGAATTACCAGTTATAACAGTCAGTGATAGTCCCACATATAAACTCACAAGTAATGTTACTTCAATAGTCGAACGCGGTTCATTCGTAACCGTTTCGTTTTGTGAACTACTAGTGTTCATCCCGTGACTTATCGCTGAATCTGAAATCTTTATCACTATTTTCTCGTTTTAAGACAGTTTTTTTCGTAAACGTCCGGTTCTAGACAGGTTCGTCTTCATTTACAATGACGTCAAAATTGTTGTATATTTAGTATGATTTCATTTGTTCCAAGTAAGCAACTACTTTACATCGAATGATCAGATTCCAATCTCAAATGTTTTTGACAAGGTCTGTATTGCATTCGGAGAAGCGGTAAGTTGTCGGAAAAGTGTGGACCTTTAAATTGCAGCTAAGAGGCGTCTTTTCCAAGATGTCTGTTCTTAATAGGTGTGCATCTAATGTCCAATCAGAGAACAGCAGTTCAGTATATCTGTAGATTCTAAGCACCATATGAATTATTAACAAGAACGATAAGTGATGCTGATATCTATCTAATCAGAACAGCGTGCAGCGTCGCAGATAATGTTAGCTACCTACTGGCCACGTATTCCTTTTACTAAAATGACGTTCTATTTCGCCATCCGATTTTGTAAGTAGGTATATATAGAATAATTATTTAATATGAAATAAAATCCATTGATAGTTAAAACCTGTGAAATTAAATGGATTGATGTCTTATTGTCTTTACTATAGCGATTTATTGGGTCAATTTGCACTCTAATAAAATGTAATCACGTCTATATTAGCATATATTAAATGGTCATATTAAATACATCGTTTTTTACTCTATTTGTTCACGTGTTTATGTATCAAGGCCTTTGATTGACATCTTATGACCAATTAATGAGAGTTTAAGACTAAATAATGGGGTTGGGTCCAAAAGGCGCTAAATTAACCCTAATATATGTATCCACTAATTGTACATTAACACCGCGAAAAATGATATCCGAAACCTATAGAAAATATAGATAAAAGATGACTCAACATGCTTAAAACTTTGAGGTTTTTGTTGAATAGAACCTGAACTGAACATATGGTGAATGATGGAAGTCTTCTTTTGATTGTATAAGAGTTAGTCTGTCTTTTACCTCGGGTGCAGCTTTGTGCCATCTGCCTGAGACTAAAGGTATACTAGCTAAACCCGCCATACGTGATGTTTGTATGTTTGTGATCTGGTCCGCAAAGAATCATATGAAAACGGAGGGAGATAGTATGAAATAGAAACGACTAATATAATAATCGCATCTTGATTACATTGTTGATAAACTCGAGCAGATGTTCCCTTCAGCCTTTGCGGTTACGTCTCGAATTAATTGATTAACTTTGAAAGAAAGGAATTACGAAAACATCCGATAATATAATGTCATCGAATCTATCCGGGCCACTGCGGTTAAAAAAGACTCTTGTATTCGAAAGATTCTCGTCAAATTTACACAACATTTTTCAAAAGATCAAGGCTAATCTTGAGATGATTTGAGTTTGAAAAATGTACTGATACATAATGATATATTTTGACATTTGCGGCTTAGCCAAATACACCAACTAGCAAAAAAAGAGCATATCTTAATTCAACGATAAACAGAAAAACACCAACTTGAAAAAAAATCTATAAAACGACATTATTTTGCAATAAATGACATCACTGGGTGACTGTTTACCTCAATGTCTAGAGCAAACAAACCAGTCTTATCTGATAGAGTTTCATATTTCAACCATGATGTGGCTCATTTGGCTCGATTGCGCGTCAATTAGCGCGCGGAAGTAATTTTGAAAACGTCAATTTCTCGCAATTTGTCCGTCTTATCTCAAAAGGAAACTGTCTGACGTTGATCGACTTAAAAAGAACAGTTTATTGTTTCCCTTTATTCAGTTTCACTTTCTGATTTTTATTATTGATGTTTGTGTGTTTTTTGGATTCATTGTTTTTGCTGTAATAACACGGGTTCTATGATGATCGCGTGTTCGTAGTTCAAGGACATGGTTGTCACTCGCGCGCTCAAAAATGACATTTTATGAAAGCAATTAATATGAAACAGATGGTTGTGCGTCCCTTAGTGATATAAGGGACTGACCATTAGGTTTTTGAGGGGGTTGGGATGAATGATATTGAAAATAAATTTCCTGCATGGCCTGAAGGGACAAAAAACATTCCTTCAAGACAAAATATCCACAAAATATCCACTAGAATCTTTGTAATATTCACAAACAAATTTCGTCCAAATCATCCACCCCCCCCCCTCACGAGTCAAATCCCCCCCCTTAACGAGTCAAATGGTCAGTCCCTAAGCATGGTCGGAGAAGCCAAGAAAAACATTTAGTACCGTCTCATTATTATTAAAGCTTGCTTCACGTGTGATTTCAATTTCCTACTGTGTCTTAATCAAAGCACCAGAAAACAAGACTTTCACATAACACCGAAACTCTCTACAGTTGTTAATCTTGTAACTTAAGTAAAAATCATTTTTAGCAAAGGTTTGTATGCATTACTATAGCTGACAGATCAACATAATTAAGAATTATGACTCGATGTATGATTGGCTCCTTTGATTGGTCACGTGATTTTAACTATACCTAAAATATTTCAAAATTTCAATCATTCCCAAAGAAGAGAATTTCTGATATTCCTGCTTGTTTCACTGGAAAAAATCGCGCACTTTAAAGGTTGTAAATTTGATGTAAATATGATGTAAATCATTCACATCCGATTTACATCCAATTTACATCATTTTGGACACTTACATAATATTTACATAATATTTACATAATATTTACATCATATTTATAACCTTTAAAGTGTGCAATTTTTCCAATGTTTCATGTCATTATTTTCCTAATTCTATGAACGTTTTCTATCGACTGACCCGATTAACGTTACGATTCCTATATTTTGTCTTTAGGTCTGATAGTATCTCGCACCCACTCTATCAACGTTTTGTGTCGTCGTGACTACTAGCAGATTTATCTAATCGGATCTGATGTATCAACTTCGTATCACAAATTCATTTCAGAACAGTGCTAGATCGCTAGTCAGCACGCTCCCATCTGCGCGCTCAACATTTAACAAGGAAAACAAGTTTTTTTTTAGGGGGAGGTTGTGCATAAATTTGTTCAGTCAAGTTGAATGGAAGTGAATTGTCTCAAAATGTGTACAGTGTTAACGTGCTTAGTGAAACCACTTAAAAATATGATAAAAGCCTTGTGTGAATCTTGGTGTGTGTATTTTGTATTGTGTTCAAATCACATGACATGCTAAGCCTGCAGTTTATTATGCCTTTCCCACTTAAGACTCGCTAGTAAACTGTCTAGTGATGAGGAGATTTCATGCTGTCTTGGGGATGTTTGTACTTGGTAAAATCTTTCTGTCTTGAAATACGACCATTAAAAATGAAGAGAAGTTCTTACAGAAAACAAAAGTCTTTACTTTAAGTCATAATTTAGATGACGCAGTCTGTCAGGGCCATATATTATACAATAAAACGTCTGCCATTCCTTGGACCAATAATTACTAAAGAGATAAACTTTACTAAGGCATTGGATTATGATTTTTAAAGATAATAGTCTTGTCTGGTACCTTATAATGGCAGTTTGTTTAAGTACTGATATAGGCTAGGGATTTGGTCTATAAACGGTGAACAAATAGATGAAAACTATTCAAATGAAATTGGATATTGAGAAAAGATGAAAAAGGGTGTCAAAATAAAGAATCGTTGAGAGAACGACACTGACAACAAACACAACAAATGACAAAAAGATGTCAATGTATAATTGCAATTTACTATACACATCAAAAGTAGAAAAAGTCTAAAATTTCTGTATCATAGACTATCAATAGATATAATAAATGTATCTATAGACATCATCCAGTTTGTATTCTTGAATTTCCTAAAATTCTTAATACAATAACAAATAAAGAAAAAAATTCACCAACGATTTTCGACTTACTTTTCAATGAAACCAGGTTAATGTTGTTGATGGAGCTTTTGTTTTTAAAATCCAGCGATGAAAAGAAAGTGGGATGGAGGTTGAATAAATACCAACTAATCGTCCTCTAGAATCTGAACATCTGCACGCTGCCAAATAAGGACTACATAAAGAAGTCACGTGATTAGCGCTTAAGTGGATAAAAACTTGATTACTTGTCAGTACTTCATGTCAGACCCCATGAATTGGAACTATTACTAATATCTTTGTATTAGGGTTAGGCTTGGTTTAGGGTCTTCTTACATGAAGTACTAACCTACATTCGAGACTTTATCCCTAGTGAATATGAGAAGTCACGTGGTTCTTTTAGTGCAGACACCATTACAAAAATCATCATTATCAACAATATGTTGATCTTCGATATACACCTACTTGCAGAAACGTTGTCATAGAAAATAGAACATTCGAATTTAGTAAAAAGGAATAAATTAAGACAAAACAAAAGAAAGCGTTCAGCCTCAGTGACCTTCTTTTGTCTTTATAATTTATTTCTTTTTACTAAAATACAAATGTCCTATTTTTTTATGACAACGTTTTCGCAAGTAGGTGTAGTTGAAAATAGTATTTTTGTCCATGGCGCCCTGTTAAAAAGAAGCCTTCATGAATAAAGCACCGTTAGCGGATGATGGTTTTCTGGACGGGGCCGCCAGCACTAAGTGAAGCATTTCTCTAATGTATTTGCGATTTCTTTAAAAGTAGCCGGGAGACTTTCAGTATTTTATTTGATAGAATACTAAATAATCCGTCTGGCTTGTTTAATTGCTGTATGTACTAACAAACTAATATCTATTGCAGAACGAAATCTACAGATGTTACCTTGTTTCGTGGCACCGAAATGTAAATTGTACGTGTGTTAGCGATAAACCTCTTCAGCCGGTAGATCCATAGCAATCATAAAGTAATTAAAGCTTTAAATAGGTCAGCCAATCATGATGGGGTACAATCAATCAATTTTCAGTTTTTTTTTTCAGTCTACCACTTTAAGAAGAAGAGTGGCGAAAATGTACTTCATGAGTTTTTTTAGGTATTCAGAGATAAAAAGTAATTATTCCTAGTTTAAGTTAAGTACCAGCGATGAAAAATAATTTCCCAGGCAAGTATCGAGTTATGTACTAGTTAACGCTAATAATAATGAGAAGACTGTAGAAGATATTTACACCGAAAAAGACGAAAGAAACAAAAAAAATTAGTAAATTATAGGGTACTTTCATTATCAGACATCAATTTCACTCTTAATTCATACAAAAATACAATCTCATTATGACCTTACCTGCTTCCTGTAAGCACGATTCATATATATCATGWTTTATACTCGTTATAAGTTTTAATACAAARCAAACCACTTCTTTGCGTGCTTGAAGGCTAGAGAGTTTGTCTTGTTTTCGTCCTCATCAAATCAGAGAGACCTTTCATTTCCTTCCAGTAATAAGCCTCCTGTTGTTATTTCTGATGTATATTTCAGGATATAGCATTGACGGCAGGTAGAAATTCATTATACTGCATTCGATCAGTTTCCAAATTARATCAAATTTATTAGTAGAAAAAAATGGTGCGGGAACAAGAAAGCTCAGCCGAGATGGACTCATGTGACTAAAKTTTCTATGATAAATAACAATTTAAAACCACTTAATCCAGTCAYCTTGATTTATATGAATTAATGACCTTATCCCATTTATGGAACCGAGAGCTACTGGGACAGACTTAAATCATTGGGAATAATCGACCAATTACTATATCTGCGAACACATTTGTGAATATCTAGTTAAACTAACCAAACCATGAAAGATAGATAAAAATAAACTTAGACATCGGTTAAATACAGCAGTTTGACCTTTTATTTCTATTTGACAGAGATCGCGGCCATGATTGGCTTAGACGCGTCGATTCGCTTTACCTTCCCTTGTTTCTAGGATTGGAACAAAAATTCTTGTGGAAAGTGTCTTGCGGAGTGGATTTTCCCTATCGCAATTAGGATGCTGATTCGAAAGCATTCTGTTTTTTTTTCAGTCTCGGATTTGAWTGAATTTACACCTTATTTTCAACGWWTGTTTGAAGACTTTGAACATTGTARATATGGTATTWCTTTTTTTGCCGAATAACTCACTTTCCTAAATGAAGCTTCATAGAAGTAGGTTTTCATAAAAACTGTAGACATCAGATGTGTTTATTTACTTTACGGTTAATATTATATAAAAATTTACCGTCATTTAATTAGTCGTTTTGAAAAAATATTGTTTGAAAAAGAGCAGGTCACACTGACCGGTACCCGTCATTAGGAACCGAGCCTTCACGAAGCGACATTCAATAACAGAGCAAACCATCTTCATCGACGAGCTTCGCGACTCGTGTGATTATCAAGGTAAAACGAGTTTCATCATGTTTTTAATTTACCAAAATATCATTCAGTCAATCTTTATGTTCTTTTTAGTTCACAATGGGAATACAGTAGATCAACATCAACCAGATCAGATATTATCTTATTACTCATTACCACTCAGTCTTTATTAGTAGTAATATTTGTTTATTCATGATATTAATTATTGTATAACTACTATGATAAAGAAACTGACTGCACTTCAGTAATGCTAATATCGCCTTCTATGGATTTATACTGTTGGTCCTTAAATGACAGGTGTCAATTACGACTAATTAGGTTCCTGATCAACTGMTTGCGTACAATGAAAAATTATTGCAGTAAAACTTGGTTCATTTTGCAGTAGACGAGTTAGGTCGCTTTAAATCAGTGATCAGATGAATTCGGTATTCATTTTCATGGAATCCGATCGGTCGACATAACCATTAGTGCACGGTGCGTTTTGTCCCGATCTTTCTGATTCAAAGAAATGTTTTTTCCTTCTCTCTAGATATTAATAGCTTAACAATGCGATGCAAAACCGCCTCGACTACTCAAGAAAATATCGCCCTGGAAGTTATAACTTAAAGAAAAAAATCTTCAAATTMGCCTGCTCGTTTTCTTTTTTCTTGACATTTGTTTATACGTTGTTGTCATGGCAACCATGGTGGTTATGGTCGGGAGAAAACCCTTTAACTTTATCCGACGGTAGTMAACTCAATCCAAGACAAGCCTTCGAGCATCATTGGTGTCGATTACAAAAATGGMGGGTGGACTGGGAAGGAATTATCTCGCCCTGTGCTGGGAATACGGACTGGGGCCGAGTGAAGTCCCAGTCTCCCACAGATGCAATGACCAGTTATATCTATTTATGGGACATTAATCCTGCTGGACAATTTAGTCGATTTTTTATCCAATCACAAACCAAGGATGGTAAAAGTAAGGTGATTGGTGGAGACGCTTGGCGAGTTCACATTAGTGGCCCAGCATACATTGCGCCTCTTGTTATTGACCACAGCAATGGGTCATATGAAGTCTTGTTCCTCGCAATGGAAGCTGGGAAATACCAGATTGAAATTATTTTGGATTACTCATTATGTGACGGTATTCGAGATCCTCCTTCTGATTGGTTCATTAAAGGTGTGTACTGTGTCGATGAACAGTATAGCTAACAATCTYCATTTTTTTGTCTGTTTTTATTTGTTTACCTTTTTTATCTGTATTTTTTTCTTAGTTTTCGCTTGTCGTTCTGTTTGTAGTATTATAATATTATTTCAACACTGATTCATTGGMTTTCCAGGCAATGGACAAGGCAAGAATCAGCGATACCCCGAGGTAGAGAAATCCAGGGACTACATTCTTGCCAAGCTGTGGGGTAACTCAGTCCCAGTCGATATTACAATCCCACCGCCTGATAAAGGTATGGGATTCCTGTGGTAATTATTCGGCCCATGCTGTTATCTGACTGGTGTATAACAGGAATACCAACAGCATTTCTTATTCATTATAAGTTCATTTTGATATTTCTAGGTTTCCCTCTWAAAGACCTGAATGCTCTAATCAACCAAACTGATTGTCAAGTTAGCTGTAAACTATTATGGGATGGCTACGGTAGATGGATCAGCAATTTTTGGGTTTCCTTTGTACCGTGTAAGTGTATCATTTYTTATAAAATTTTTGATATATAACGCGCGCTCTGATTGGCTGACGACCGTGTTTATATCAGAGGACAGAGACACGCGCGCCGTTTTATATTTCTTATCATAAAATTTTTGATATATAACGCGCGCTCTGATTGGCTGACGACCGTGTTTATATCAGAGGACAGAGACACGCGCGCCGTTTTAAATTTCTTAACAATGATTCTAAGGATTTCAAGCATTAATACCACGTTAAAACTCTCACGCACTTCAATAACATAATTAGTTTATTGAAAGGATCTTTCTTCAGCCTAAAGCCAAGTATCGCGCTTATGTGAACAATATATCAACAATTAATAATTACTTGATATAATTTCCACAGATGCTCCTATTTATCACTCGCCACACACGAAGAAAGGAACTCTTCATTTTTATGGAGATTCRGTGATGGATTTCTTTGCAATGTCGTTGACTCATAGACGCCTTTGTARGGTGTTTTTTCAACGCTGTGTTGCCACGTATAACTGGGTTTACCCGGTTGTGAACTACACGTTTGCAAAGACACATACCGACGACTTGGACTTCAATAAGGAACGATTGTTAGAATCTGTACGTGGTGTTCTTACAGGTAATCTAATGGATGCTGATAGTTTATTCATCATGAACTTTGGACTACATTACGTAGAGAGTATTAAYTTTACAAGTTATCGAAGTCTTATTGATGGAATAATCCAAGTAGTTCAAGAAAGATACTGGGACCCTTCTAGTAACAGCATGAGGCCTGTCTATGAAGGTCAAAGCATTTGGAAAACAACTACAGCAATTAATAAGCAAAGAGCGACAAACATTAACCTGGGCCACAGGCGATTTCTTACCTACCAGGTAGGTCATTAAACGCAATTATTAACGCATCAAAAATGTATTTCTTGTTTGATATACTATTGTGGCAGACAAGGTGGGTCCCAGATGCGCACTTAATTGAGATCAGRTGGTGTGGTTTGATTGAACACAATTAGAAACATAATCGTGATTATCTGTTGTCAGTATTTGCGTGTTAGACATTCAAGGTCTGTATATCAAAGACTGGATCTCTCTAGGTGTGCCAGTTATTTAAAATTCTTTTTTTTAATKAATAATTTTGTTTTAAAGTTCCATTTCCGTGTTCACTAAAGATAGGATATACAGCCAACCTAAGAAACGTTATCTGTGTGAAAACACATTTAGTAAAAATAAAGTCATTGAACAGGAAAACGTTCATCTGTGGAATAACCCAGACTTGATGAAAAACTACTAATTTTCATATTGAAGACGACTTTTCAAGTCAAAAGGGTTGTGTTTAACGTTCTGCACCTTATGGTACATGCTTTGCAGCTTAATTTTTGTCTGATTAGGGTTGATAACTGCAGTTTTCAGTTTGCGAAATCTCAATGCAGAGGTATCCTCCCCATTTTCCATCAATCAACAATTTCAAGACTTTTTTTACATCAGAATTTGCTATCCTTGTTTGAAACAATTACTCAAATACCGGCAATAGCTTAACATTGAACAATCAGAAACAATAATGAATTATTATCAATTTGACTTTAACGAGAATGTACATATGGAAATATTCTCAAAACGATACAAAAAAGTCGTTTAGACTTACCTGGAATGCTGTCTTGGAATTTCTCTACTTCTACAGGATGTTGATTAAAGCACGATGAGATAGATGACTTTTATAAGGGTCGAAGACAAACCACGCGTCTCACAAACAAGACGAATACCTCCATGTCCGCATTCGTATTTATAGAAAATTATTCAGTATTTTACGTCATGTATTTCTTATTTTATACCAAATACATTATCACAACCTGTATTCAAACAAAAGAAAAAGAAAAAAAAACTAGAAATAGATTTAGCTGGCCATTTATTATTGATTAAACAGTAAAAACCCTCAGTTTACACCCATTGTCAATTTTGAATMGATCAAGGGCGAAAAACTTTCACCATAATACAACCTTCATTCGTAGGAATTTAAARAACAATCCCCCGAGGCAATGTACGTCATTTGTTCGTGATACTAACTATRCWGCATGCAGTGGGAARCGTTTCTTGTATTAGAGAAAGGCGGTSACAGTAAAAATAGCTTATACACCTAAATAATAAGAGCTCAAATGCTGTRTAAATTATCAATCTTGATTGCGACGTCAGAGATACCATGTTTCCAGAGGGTTATTTTTTATTGTTTTCAAGTCTCTGGAACCASCGTACGTCATAGATGTTTCATTATGACTTGCAGGATGGTATAGCTAAGCATGAACCTCTAATCATCTAAAAATGCTAAAAAGCATTCACATAGTTTGTAAATAATAACATTTCAGCATTCCTAGTACTGTAGAACATTGATAATTGAGCAGACAAGTTGTGTAGAAATGTTTTCTCAGTAAAATTTGTGGTCCAGAAGTTTTTTTCAGTGCAAAACATTTTCACAAAACGCAAGAAATTAAAGCGACATTTTGAACCAATTTAAGAAATATATCGTTTATTGATATCATGTATCTAATGGGCATATATCCCAAATATACCTCCAGTCCAAACGTCAAATATTACATGTATCAAAGCTAAATAATAATAGATAAATAAGAAGAGATTGTATATGCATTGAATTCTGAACATGTGATATTCAGCGTTTGTAGCGGGCAAATAATCACTTATTGTTCGTCTGGTTTTATATCAAATATTGTTGTTTTTATTCTACAGAGAGTACTCCTCTATAATGCATACGCTACATGGGCGATGTGTCGTGCAGGTATTCCAGTACTCGATGTTTACCCAATGTCGGACTCATATCCCTGGGGGACTGGGACCCATGCGAGTCGAATCCCTGCACCTAATGACGTAGTTCATTATAACAACCTGGCCTTCAAAGACGCAGAAGATTTGTTAGAAATGATGTATAGAACGTGATGACTACAGCAAACATTGGATATAAATAGACAAAAAAATAACTATATTATATAGATACATATTGATAACTTCACTATCTTAGCTATWTATCGTTTATTATTCATGCGAACAATTAAAATTTTAATAAAAAGGKTCTTTTCCTTGAGGGGCCGCCAGTGTCGGCATTTTTGACATGAATGAAATGTTGTCGATTGATTGATAATTTGTACGATTTACTGAAAAATCAAATTTGAAACAAAACTCTTAACAATCGTATTCCGCTGCTGAGAGAAAACACTTTGAATCTGCAAAATAATATTAAAGCTGTCTCTAGGGTTTGCTTAGAGGCCGTTCACTCGCTGTAGTAAATCTGAACCAGTTGTTAATAAAACAAAAAGATTCTTATATGAGCGTACATTTTATCGAGAAGAAAGAGTGAAATATTGTTATTTTTTTAGTATATCAGTGGAAGCTTTAGCATTAATGTCATTTAAAGACCTTTCGCTCCTTACGTAATTTCGACTTAGATATGAAATACAACATGMAAATCGCGTTAATAGAGKTCTTTCCTCKCTGATCTTCTAATGTTATTGACTTTGAGGGTATCAGGGCAAAGCTGTCTTAATTCTTCGTCAAATGTTAAACTTCAGTGAATAATTCTATACACTAACGGCAAAGATATTACTTTAAAGCTTTACTTGCAGAACATCTTACATTCTATAATGTACCAATGCAAGGATYGCMAAGGGAGGCGGGAATATTTAGTACCGCCCATMTTCCTAACATCAACGAATACCCAGAAGTTATGATCCATTGTTAAGTATTTCTATGATATGTTAATTCCCTATTCACTTGTGATGCTTTCATCGTGGAAATCTTTTTATCTTTCCAATGACCATGTATTTCGTCATCTCCCGGCGTCTTACTCTTTTCCGATCCCTTCCATCCTCTCCCGTTCTCTTATTCTATTTGCTTCTTATCTTACTTAAATCTTAAACAGTAATTTGTTTGTCGTTTTGTTTGGTTTCAATTTCTTTGTTCTCGGAACCGCAACACCTGCATTGACTTCAGTTACTGTAGTTGGATGAATACTTGGATCTGTGCTCGTACCTTAGGTTTGCCTACTTGAACAGAGACAAAGACTTTAGCTAGTGAAATAATTGATTCTACATATAGCAAGTTACCTCTAAAGCTARCACGACCTCCATCGCAATTAATGTATAAACAAACCATCAGAGTTGACAAGTTGTATCAATGTTAAAGCTCATATTCTTAATGATCGTAATGTCCGCTATGTTTAGTATGTAAGCGATAATGCGATAATAGCGACTTGATTAACCCACTTTGTGGCGCCTCTGTGTCAAGCAGTTTATCCGATATCGTGTAGTTGACTGTACAAGGATTGACGAAGCTGTGTTACATTTGGACGTACAACGTTGGTTTAACGATCTTCATTTACAAAGGTAGGGATATTTAACGGGATGTTCGATATGATATGATTGATATATCGTGACTATGTTTGTGACTTGGACTTGGATAGCTGATGTACTCGAACACAAATTATCATGTCATAAAAAAACTACTATAGAGTTTCTTCTGGGATATGATTCAACCCTTGAATGCTATKACAACAATAATTTGACTGTCAAAATGTAGACGTTTATTTTTTYAACTGGGTAGCATTATGGTACGTGCAGTTTTTTTCACTAAACCGAAATAGTATGTGGATTTGCAAACAAGATCAAGAAGTTCACTAACATGGTACTTCACCGCTAAAATGACGTCTAACGTTTACAGTAATTCCACAGTGACCTTGTGATAGCAAGAACTCAAGAGTGCTTTTTTCCCTAGTTCTTTCTTTTTTATTCTTTAATCATCGATCAGTCAATTACGTGTACATAATCATTTATTTTGTACAATTATTACAATTACAGTGTATTATCAAAATRACTTTTATGAACAGACAACCACTCAACGAACCATTTTGACTATCTTTCAATTTAAAGGCTTTCAGGCGTCTTAAAGCGGCTRCTATTCAACCTGAATSTAGCCTTTACTGTGRACGGCAAAATAARMCAATGCCGCCGGCTTTGCGTACAAATGTGCATTATTGAGTAGCCTAACAGTTCGCTATTTGGTTTGCATTAGGTAATACACAGTACCAATTGAGTTTTATCAGTTAAAAGGCAACGAAAGTGATTTCTTTTGGCAATTACCTCGTTCACATGGCTGTGCAATTCCAACTAAAAGAAGTTACATTTAGTACGACATAAAAGAAGAGCTCAATTCCAATCAATGGAAGTGATTATGCAATAGCAATTGGCAATGTATTGTTTCTTAACGTTCTTTGCAGTATGGTTTCATTCCATTGTGATAATATGTAAGAATACTGATACTGGAATACAGATAATATCTGTAAGTATCGAATGATGAGAATGACAGCTGTCATTCTATATTGTTGTGGAACTAGTCTTTTTTCTGTAATGCAAATATTTTTTTGTTTTGTGCATGGTGTAATTATAAGATAAGCTCAAAAAGCCCGGACTTCGATAAAATGAGTCAAAACACTTTAATTAGCAAAGTAACAAAAGTAAACAACCAACAGAAATCGTAATAGTCTTATCGGTCTTTCAACACTCGACGGGTTTATTGTCTGTAAATGGACTTTACAGTCGTTACCTATAGAGTTGTGACATCATATATGTGATGCAATCGACCAATCAAATCTCTTGATTGGTTCCATAATATTGGTGTTTATATAACATATAATAATTGTTTCCGGGCGATTATTACAATTATTACACCCAATAGCGAGAGCGGTAAATATTTTCAATGTAGAGAATCAGGGAGGTTTTGATCGATAGAGTTACAAGTCACACTTTTTCCTCAAATTATCAACAGCGATAGCCGTATCTACAGGTAAAGTTTGATTTAAAATTCTTTTACGGTCACAACATGGAAATAACAAAAAGTATCACTATCTTACAACAAAAACATAGACTTAAAAAACGAGAAAAATATTTTGAAAGCATTTATTGCATCAATTCATTTTGCTTGGAATGTTTTGACATTTTTGATAAAACTAGGTATATTTTTCGACAAAGCTGCAKTYATATCACGGATTTAATTTCTTGCCGTGTTGTTCAATAATCCAGGTGCAATAAYTCTATAGGTCTTACAAGAGTTAACCTAGGATTATCGCTAATCGGTCTTTGAACAACCCGGCCCTGCAGGTAACCTTTAGAACGATGGACTAATAGCAGCCATGTCGCCATTACAATACTAACCTCATTTCATGACTACTAATTCAACATTGAATTTTTTTTTTCTACTTTTTATCTAATAACACGAAGGAGGCGTTACAGGAAAGCGACGGCGAAAGAAGAGCGATTGGAATCCCTAGACTGGACACACCCCATAGGGAAACAGGATCAAAGAATTGTCTGATATTCATGAAGTAAGTTGATAATCTTTTCATTGATTAGTACTATTTATGACGTACGAGCATGCGTAGTAGCTCACTCGGCAAAAGCGGTATATAATTCCATGTAGTCAGCAATCCCTGAATAATTGTTATCAAATCCCATCTAAGACCTTTTAAGCTAAGCGACTATTTCAGCGCARCAAGACAAATTCTACCCATGGCTTTTTAATTGCTAATACAAATTAAAGGGTCCAGACTTTATACATCCGTTTCCACCCCTTCCCCCTGGGGGAAATTCTCACCGGTTATTGGAAAAGTGCTGTACTAATCATGCTGAAAACGTTGTATAGACGTAYGAATATCTTTATCTGTTAGCAATTTAACAGCAAGGGTGATAACTCCACTTCTAACGATAATCCTATGAACAGAGCTCTAGAAAAAGGTCTGTATCAAACTCCGCTTCTCGCATGTACCCAATTCAATGCAAGAATTGATAACAAGCAGAAACCAAAGATTATAGCAATTTGAATTCATTTTAAATACGGGATGTGTCAGTGTTCTGTTCTGTCTTTTTAAGTATGAGAAGATATTCAMCTCGTGATTCAAAATCTTTTTTGCGTTCCACTTCTATTAGAATAGAAACAAGGAAATTATCTTTTAATGCTTTTATGAAATGCATCTCACTGCTTGAAAGCCGTATTTCATACTAGAAACACCTTTCAACCAATCAAGGCGCGCGTTACAGTTAAATGATTTTAACTGTAGCTTATTTATTTTGGATCGATAAAAATCTCGTTTTTCATTTCATCATGTTACTTAGTGAAAGCACTATCGATATGACTTGTAATGTGATACAAATTCACTGAGCCACTTTATTGTACAAGGGCACTCTTCCATCCGGTCGTGTGCCAAAAGTGCTCGCTCCTTGCTGTGTATATTACCAGAGTATACTCATTACCAGTCTACACTGATCACCTTAAACACAGCCTGAAAAGTCTTTAAGGTACAATRATAATGGAGTATGTATTAAGCTTTTACCAACTTACATGTCGCTATCACGTAGCTATCAACAAGGAACGTTTCTAACATTTTTCRTGGTATAYTAATCRATCAYATTTGCAGTATCACACGTTCAGTATCAAGAAAGCTGGTTCGCATAGTATTTCTTTCTCGAGTATCAGTGAAAAGGGTTTCCTTACAGATTTTATATTCGTTATCACTCCTGGCTTGTCACAATGAAGGTCATCTGTCAGGCATTATTTTGTCGGATTTTCTTACCCATGGTCCGTTTTTTTTTCGTTCTGCTTTGTCGTACACATTGTACATGCAATGGTCAATTTATCCCGTACCATCAATTACATAACTAGCAGTCTGCGTTGCTGCATGTTTATATAAAATGTTTTGATCCTAAACCAATAGCCGACTTGCGAATTTTGCCTCACTAGTCCCACACAAAGGAATCAAGACGAGGCGTCGTGCGTAAAGCTCAGTCAATCGTGAAAAGATAATAGTTTTGCACGATTGACTGAGCTTTATGCACGGCGSCTCGTCTTGATTCTTTTGTGTTTGACTACTGAAGCGAAATTTGCAAATCGGCTATTCACATCATGACATATATAATATATATATTAGTAAATTGCTGCGTTTAAGATTAGGACGTGATGTCGAGGACGGACTGCGACATAAAAATATGTGACTAATTTTTTTAACAGATAAAAGATACAAGTATTAGATACCTCCATGGCGAGGTCCAAATATTATAATCCTTGACTATATCAAGGGTCACTTCCTCATTACAGATGAATAACTGACAGTCCTTAGCAATCCCGCAATGTTTCTAGTCATCCCATTGACCTTACAATATTGTAAATACACCCTGTGTAAGAGGTTCTTCTTCTTGACCGGTGTGCAGACAAGTAMTATGTCTGAGAGATGTTTCATCGGATAAATCAGTCAATAGTCTATAAACAGTCCTTGTTCTTTGTGTAAGATAGACATGTAAGACCTTGATTGTTCATCATTAGGACTACCAAAGTGGTGATCTTCTGTCTATAGTTCTTTGCTCTGGGAATGAGAAATACAGGAGATGTTGCCCCTGGTTACCGATCTACTTAGCTTACTATGAGAAAGCTGATTGGACGAGAGAGGGAGTGTATAATAATAATCCTACTTTTGGCGAACTTGGTTTCTAAAATCCTCTGTCTTACGGGTCTTTCGGGGAAAAAATTCGCGATTTTATCAATTGAGACGATTACATCATTTATCAATGAAGTCTTTATTTTACCAAAACAGTGATAACTATAACCATAATTCTTTTACCTTTCCAGATAAGGAGTCAGCAAACCCTTATACTATGTTACCATGGCATCCAATACATCATATCCCGAGTCAACCCATCAAACAAAATTAGATACCCGGATGTACTTCTTCCTCTTGTTTGCGATACTGCTGACCATTATTACTATAACCAACAATACATTGGTTGTGCTTGCGTATAAAGTCAATCGTCGGCTGCGTAACCGGGCCATCYTGATACTTGTGAGCCTAGCCTTATCTGATTTACTCGTGGGGGGTATWTCGATGCCTCTATGGATGTTYATGACAGTGTCAGGCCATGACATGCCRATGGGTCTGTATCTATTCTACATGAGTTTTGATGTGTTCAGTGCTTTTGCATCTATTCTGCACCTTACTTGGGTTAGTATCGAGAGGTTTTTTGCCATTGCGTACCCGTTGAAGCATCGKGGRTTTGGTGATAAMGGCTACAAAGGAATGCTCGTTTTATTATGGCTGGCATCAGCTTYTGTTGCKGCCATGTTTCCATTTCAGTACCATCACAACTGGCATAAAGAATATGCACTCTTTGTTTTTATTAGTGGATTTATTCTTCCTATCATCACTATTACAGTCGTCTACGCCTCTATCTACAARATTGCAAACTCCTCCGTTTTTAGAGGTATTCATCTTAAAGGAACACGCAGTTTTCAAGCTGAGAAAAAACTCGCCAAAACAGTAGTAAGTTTGTGTTTCTTATTTTTCATCACGTGGTGTCCATTCTTTGTCGTATCGCTGCTTGGGACTTTTAAACCTTCATTAATCTCCAGTCCTTCACCGACTTTTATTTGGTATATTACTGTGTTTGTTAAAGCCATGCATTACTCAAACAGTGCCATGAACACATTTGTGTATGCATTTAGTAGTCGAGAAATGAGACGAACCTTCAATTCTCTTCTTCGTTGTAAAAAGAACATGGTGTTACCCAGGCCACCACGTCGTAAAAGACACCGAGCACATGTCCATGTATTTCACCTTCACTCTGTTGATTCACTTTGAACGAACTTCATTCGCTGCTTCACTCGATTTGTAAATATCACAAATCACACTGTAAGCATCATTGCTACATTTTCTTGTGAAGTGGATGGACGGTGGAGACTCTGGGAGATACCAATCTTGACTAATACTCTGCTGACCAAACAGATTGACGATGTAAGTGTGTGCAAGAGTTCAAGTCTCGTCTGCAGCATGGAGGAGCTTGTGTGAAGGTTTAGAAAATCATKCGAGAGCGTCGAATTTTGTTCAGTGAATTAGTGCCAAATGAAAACTGAACAAACTCATTAAATCAAAAAATTATTTTTATCGATAAAAGAAGTTTCAATTTCATTGAGAAAACATCTTAAGTAAAAGTTTTTTTATAGAAGTGTGTTATTTATATTATATATTAATTAAATATAAACCAAAAAACAAGTCTTGACAAAGTGAATGTTATCATAGTTGAAGGGTTTTCACCTCATAAACACGGCGCGTTTGCTTACACCTGCAACAATCAATTGTTCTGTTACTAAATGCCGTCTCACTGAAAATTCTAAAAGGCTGGGTCATTATATCAAGGTACAAGAGAGTTTAAACCTTGATTCTGTTCATAACAAACAGGCATAGAAATATTATTTGCATACTTTTTAGCGCCATCACTTTTCTTTCCGAATTTTTTTTGTTTTGTTTTGTTTTTGTTTTGTTTCTTTTTTTTTTGGGGGGGGGGGGAGTACATGTACAATAATACACTTTGGCTTATTTCTAAATCTTTTCATTTGGGGGGGGGGGAGTACATGTACAATAATACACTTTGGCTTATTTCTAAATCTTTTCATTTGATAAGGTGTGAAAGCGTTTTCCATAATAACGATGGTGTGTGGGATAAGCCAACGTAACAGGCAGTTAACGCTAATTATTTCCGTTAATTAGGTGGGAATAGTTCGTTATCTCATTAGTATTGATTGCCAGTGTTAGGGAGGATGTTATTATAATAGAACGAAAGATTTCGCACGGGTGACTAAATATCACTTCAACAGAATCGAAATCTCAAAATATCCCGCCATTAAATAAAAAAACATTCGATGACTGAAATGCGTTTTACAATCAATGCGGATTTTAAGGAAGGCGCTGGAATTCATTACCGGTTCGACGTTATTTTTCGATTTAGTTAATTGTAACTCGAGGCAATACTGCCTCTAAGCAAGTCCTACTTTGACACGAAATCACTTGCTAACGCACACATTGATTTAATGATTTAAGGTAGAATACTCCCTKCCGAACTGGCCCAGTGTCCTGGAGTAGAGAAGGATATATACATCTTTACGAGTGAGATTTGAATATACCTGTATACTATAAAATTTATCGTAAACATACTTATTATAAACCTTKCATACAATCACAATTCAATTCTGGTGATGGAATTGCATTCCCCGGCAGCACTATTCGAAAACAATCCAATTCCACCCATTCTAATTTGTTCTGTCATACTCAGTAATAGGCATGTAATGCCTCCAGCTGAAAAATATAAACGTTTTAGACATCTCAATAAAATATATAATATCACATAATCCGATCAGTTTTTGGAGAAATATTTGTTTCGAGTGATATACACTTTGATCAAGGAGTAGTCGACTGTACAAGTATGTTAGTAGATTATACCTGCATAACAGGAAATTCTGATCAAAACGGTTGCCTCATAACGACTTTGGTATTCARACAACTCGGCCAACATCACTCAATGGTCACACTTTGATGTGATGATATAATATAATGATGATGATAATGATGATGATTATGATGATGACCAATAAAGAACTCGATGAAACTGCTAGTGGACATTCGACGATATGTGATCGATTTTGAGGTATGCCGTGCATGGATCCCAAGCGATTTCGTCGATTTACTATTTATCTGTAAAAGGAAGTTTTGACACACATTTTGATAGTGATATTCCCAGTAGATATTCGATATATTCACACGAGTATAGTGCGGTTACATRAAACGCGCCAACATAATAACGATTGATAAATTTACTCTAAAGCACGTCAGAAAATTGRCGCCATAGCTAGAGACGGCAGAAACTGTGGCTTCTTTTTGAYTAGCGATTAATATCCTAAGCTTTTCAATAAAATTTAATCATCAAATGAAACAGCAATATTATAGTCAGTTAATGATGTAACTTTTTGGCCCTGTTTTGCGTTCCAGCGTATGAGSATTCACTGGAAAAAATCGCGCGCCATTAAGGTTGTAAATTTGATGGAAATATGATGTAAGTGTCCAAAATGATGTAAATTTGATGGAAATGATTTACATCAAATTTACATCATTTTGGACACTTACATCATATATACATCAAATTTACAACCTTCAAAGCGCGCGATTTTTTCCAGTGATTGTATAAGAAATGAATTGTTGTTATATAAGGTGTTAGTATCATTAATGATTATTTTTATCGTTCTTTCTGGCATACAGATTTTAATCACTCGATTAATTGCCYTTTTATTCATAGTTTCACCAGTTTGTTTATTATTGCCTTCATAAATACAGTATTATCAGTGAAACTCGCTATGATATCAACCATGTGGTTTTATCATTTGGCGTCTCACATGGTTTCTTCAGTTTATAAATCAAATCACGTTTTTCTTCAAGCACACTTTGTGTGGGCTTTAACTATCAATTAATTGAAAGACGTCAAAGAATACCGTTATAGTTTCTARCGACCTCTTCTAAAACTTAATATTGTCACCGAGAGAACAGCGATAATTGCTTTCCTAGAAAACCACCGTACGTTTTGATTAGCCTCTTATCCATTCTGGTTTTTTCTTCTTCTTCTTCTTCTTCTTYCTTTCTTCCTTCCTTTTTTGATACCGCTCGCCGGTAGTCCAAAATGAATAAAAAGCAAAGCAAATTTGTCATAAGCTGGATGTACTGCATATATTACAACTTCGTTTGGTATTTGAAACGAGASATAAATTTGTCCCTGTAGACCAATTCAAGTACCTCGGCTGTACACTATTAGTATATCGACCTCCCGCTAAGAAAATAACATGTACTTACGGCTGTATGGTGTGATAAAATTACGATTTCCTTTACAAACTCGATATACGACTGGGCCATAAGTTGTAGTTTTCGCTCTTCAGATTTTCGGTTTGCTCGAACAGTGAGTGAAAGACTGAAAAATCCAACCGAGAGTGAACTGGGACCGACTTWTGAAATGAGAGTCTAAATATAAGTGAATTGCTTGTTGAATTGTCAAAAGTTTGTGTCATTGAAAGATAGTTTTTTAACTATCAAGGAGAGCTATGAAGTGTTTTTCCTACATTCATGTGRATTGATAGCCATTTTTAGGATTAATGTAAAAAAAAAACATGCTAGTTGCCATGTTGTTTCTAGAAATTTCCCAGGATTCTAACTGAGCAGAGAAACGAAGCTAAAGACACGTCCATATTGAAATCATGGCTAATTCATTGGAATAGTTTCCTCAAAAGCCGGATGACACATAATATAAAGCAAAAAAGCAAAAATACCCTAAGAGGCGCATGCGCACGAGTACATAATGATGGGTATAAATGACTAACTTACATTCGAACTTACTGAAACTTAATGGACGCCTGCCCTCAGCCATGACGAAGGTCCAAAATGAATGCTGTTAATTGGATCAAAAATTGCTTTTTTAGTAGTTTWTACTTTAAGATCAGTGAAAAAAACATAGCACTGGATTCCTTTTATAAAGCATGCCTCGTTACTGTGATTTTTTATGTTTTGTCTAAAAGCTGTTAAAGGATCCCTATGATACGTCATCAATTCTCTAGTAAACACTCCAATGATGACAAAAATAGTAAACCTCATTACAATTTATCCTTTAACATCAAGGCATTCATGGAAACTCCTACCTCTCTTAGATCTCTGATATTAACTCATTAATCTTTGGCGATATTGGGAGCTAAATTAGTTCGATTTATTCATTTATATTGTATGTATCACAACCTTATTTTCAAACTACTCTCAATTATAATCTTCCGGTCAAATAAAAAAAAATACAAAGTATCCGGCAGTTTAGAATTAAAAGAATCAAAACTTGACAGCACCAAGCAAAAATTGTCATATTAAACTACTTTCAAGGCTCGAATACTAAATTGTATACCCTTTATATTGTAGAATTTTATATTTGAAACCACTAGAATCGCCGACATGTTGGATGAAGGAAAAGGACACTTTGTTATCATCATCCAATATGACGGCTGTGACGTGCAACCACGAGAACAAATAGATGTTTGTTTTTACATGATTCGCTTCCCCTGAAAGAAGGCGCATTGAGTACAAGACTTGTAAMCTTTCCTAGTAAATTCAAATAGCACTGAAATAAATTTTCATCCCGAAATTCTCTATCCCGTTTTAATCATTAAAAAATATTTCGTCTGTGAGAATGCGGAAATACGTCAGAGGACACCAAGAGCTTTCAGAGTGTCGATTTTGTGTRTATCATCCAAACTTAAAACAGAATGTAAATTTAACTCAAGAAATTGTCGCTGAAAATCGTTTAAACAGATTTAAAATAAATGTCTGTTTAGTCGCATTTTTTGTACTATAATAACAYGACAGAGAAAAAGAGCCCACATGGCAAACAAAAATATCTCTGTTTTGATATTCAGCGCAAAAAAAGACACATTGAAATCCGTTGTTTTTGATACTGAAATGGATGGATTAATTTAGCCGTTGCTTAGAAGAGGCAGCACTATAATGTCGGCACAGCTTTGTGATATTGCGTTGTCTTTGGGAAAAGGAAGAATAAACATTTTAGAGTTAATCGTATGTAAAACAGAATTTAATAAGAAAATGGCGATTTACGGCAGATAAAGAGAAAGCATTGTGTTCAAACAATAATGTCCTTGTTGTAGGAAATCTAATCTCCAGGCTTTAGTGACTATTTTTGACCATTTGATTTGGAGTTTCAATATTTTATATACAATACAAGCACATTATTCAAATGAAGTAATCAGAACTTCTAGTTTAATATACACGATGTGAAAAAGGTGTTTTACGCTCGGCAAMAATGATAAATTCACTAAAATATGAAAACAAGAGAGGAAGGAAGAAGAATGCAAACAATCTTCCATTTTCCGAGTAAAAACTCAGATTATATCAATTACCAAGATGACCAGCAGGTGCCAGCCCACGCCTTTGATGTCTCACAACCATTTCACGTAAATAAGAATTTTCTGTATGACCAACCACGGTAATGGTTAGTTTGCATCCAATTCTTCCTTAAAATCGCCCACTAAATGAAAATAACTACTTTGGTAGGCTATGAATAACTTGAGGATTATGATCATGCAAAGWATTATAAAATTAACACGCAAAGACTATCTTTTATATGTGCACGTTAATTGAAGTCTCACTGCTAGTAAAAACACAACCTTCGGAGATTTTTCAAAGAGATGGAGTTTTAAAGGTTCTTTGTTGTAAGTAGTCTAGGGGGGTTGTGATAAGCCACAGTTAATGAGGCGTCAATTTCGCGAATACTAAGAAAAAACATAAAAATCGAATCAGGAAAATTAATAACAAATAATAGTTAGAAGTAAAGTAAATTTGCCGTGGGCATTGACGTCTTAGTGGGAAAACAGTTAAGAACAAAACACGGCGATATCACGAATTCAATGAAAGGTGGGACCTCCACGTGGTTGTCACAATAGGTGGGGAAATGCATATATTTGTGAACTGTCAATCACATGTCAAGATATCAAATATAGAAAACTAAGAGAGTCTGCCGAAGGTTATTTACATCGACTTGCGTAAGCCGCTTAGCAGTGCAACGGACCGAGGCTTTGAAGGCGGTCGTCGAAGAGACTACTGTATTGCTACGGGAATTAGTTGATCAAACGTCCTCCGATTACAATCAGTGTTTTAAGCTTGTGGACTTGAAGATTTGCGATATCGTCCAAGGACAACAAAAAGTCTGTAAAAACAGAAAATCAGTAACATATCGTAACTTGCTTTACCTGACAGCTTATCCAAACATGGATAATACAAGCTTCCCCGACAAGAACAGCACACAAAATTCGTCCAACATCAACCAAGGWACTGAGAAAGCTGAAGTGAACGGTGTTAGAGTTGCTGTGTCGATTGTTCTGATGGTTTTCATCATCGCTGGAAACCTACTTGTGATCTTAGCCTACAAGACCAACYACCGATTACGTACAGGGACATACACTTTTCTAGTAAGTTTAGCGATAAGTGACTTTCTTGTTGGTAGCGTCTCTATACCYCTCTGGATCTATATATCTGCYCGAGGATGGCAAGCGCTTCCTGGGGAAGCGTATGCATTCTACATCTGTTTTGATATTTTTAGTGCTTTGGCATCAACCTTCCACCTAACCGCGGTAAGTGCTGAGCGTTTCATAGCGATTTCCAGACCGTTCTACTACAAAACCATTCCAATACGCACCTATTTCATATGGTTATGTTTTGCTTGGGGTCTCGCCTTTGTTTTTGCAACATTGCATTGGAAGGGTATTGGAAGTCTTTTTGACGATCCTACAAGTCCTGAAATGATCACATATAAACAAGTATATAGCGTTATTCTATTTACATGTGGTTACTTGTTTCCCATGTTTCTCATAACAACAGTTAACATTGGGATTTTTAAAATCGCCAAAAAACTCATTAGAAGCTCTGCGCGTCCGAGTCAAGCAAGCATAGAAGATAACATGACCTCCTTTACTCAGAGAAGATTGCCAAAAGAACGTAAGACAGCTATAACATTGGTGATGATAACAGGACTGTTCTTTTTAGCTTGGATGCCATTTTTCGTTGTAAACATGATTAGTTTATTTTGCCTTAGAGCGTGCTTACTGCGATTAACGCGATATTCAGTATTCATCCTGGTTGAATTTACAAAGTGGTTTCATTACAGTAACAGCGCTATAAATGCCGTTGTTTATGCGTTTCGTGACGTGGAAATGAGACGAACATTTATCTCACTCATACTGCCTTTTTGTGAGTACCCAGCACATCGCATAGGACCAGGGAGCCTGGACACTACCGCGGCTGTGGTCAGAACAAGAAACCACAGCTCATCGTCTGCGTATTACGCCGAGTACTTGAAGTCACCAAACAGAGTTGAGCTAGAAGGCCCTAATTGTTCTTAAATTGTGAAAATATAATAAAACTCTAAGAGCGGAAGGAGTATGGTACATTAATCAAAAACAACTGTCACTAACTGAAATCCATATAGATTGTGTTTATAATCAGGTTTAAATAACAACTGTTTTGACTCGCCGACTCCGAAAAAAATAGCAAAAAACCGGCACGGCAAAGTAAATGAAATCAGATGAGTTTCCTTGTACCGCAGCCAGGATTGTCGACGATTATTGATTTAAAAGACAAACTTGAATCTTGGTTTAACGCCGATCTCTTTCTTTTTCTTCCACATCGCGCTGGTTGAATTTGACTACAACACGGACTTGGATTACGGAAATGAGACAGCGCTTGAAAGATCACGCACACGGATTGTTAGAATAACATCATAAAGATGGATATTTTAATTAAAAACATTGTACTTCAAAACCCTACATCAAAGAAAATGAAGACGAAACTCGGGATAGAGGGGAAAAAAGGTCGGAGATAGATAACTTGTTTACATCGGAAAATATGAAAAACTGCTTAGTAAACGAGACAACGTATTGATAAGCTAAATGAAGGCAATATACTAAGTGTTTCCTTATTTTTACTACTATCAATGTATATACGTGAAAACAATGTTTTATCTGTTAACAAAATAGCGATAACTGGTAGATCAGGATCATTTAAGCAGCTGAAATCGATTTGGGGATTAAAAATAAATGCGAAAATAAATAGACGATAATAAATAAAAAATGTTGTTATTTAAAGATAATAATGATTCATAGTGTGTGTCCTGGTGAGAACCAGTCTGGCTGACCAGTCATTCTATGGTACTTTGAATAATCATTGCTTTTTCTTCGCATGCTTTTGGGTCTAACYTTTTTTCGTCGCTACCTGGTAATATTACTTTCGTCTTCCTTTGCGCTCCCCTCCCCCCTAACCAAACAYCGTACATTTTGCATATTTTGCATCATAATGACTGAATTTTAGCTTTCTCAGTTTTTGCTCAAGCAATTATCCTCTTCAAAATCATCCATTAAGGAGCTTAATCAATTATTTCATTCTTTTTTGTTTTGTTTTTTTCAATGAGTTAATTACTGTCCTTTCGCATCAATCGTAATGATGTAGACAGCGCGATCAATCGACATTTACTCTAAAACATCGTAATTATGATATTCCTTTCACTTTGTTTTACTTTCTACTTTTAAAGAAGTTTCTTGAATACTGCATTATCTAGGAACCTGACCGYCATTTCAATCTCTTCCACTTTCTCAGTTTCAGTGCTTATTATGGTCAACATATAAAAGGCCTTCTTTAAAGTGGTCAWTTTGAAAACTCGATGGATATCATCTTTCATTTTTTTAGTTTCTTTCTTCTCGTATTTTAATGGCCTCGATTAGAAACCCGATCGTTAATAACCAGGAAACACTGTAATTCAATCAAAGACATTCTGACTCAAATCGGAACAGAATAACTTTACAATCGGAAATCTTTGACTTTTGTTGAGCCGAAAGATAATGAAGAGAAAACATATGGGTTACAATTAAAAAGAACTAGAAGGAAACGCTTCACCTTAACTACTTCACAAAGCAAAAAACTTGTAATGAATTTTGTATCATAAAATGTTGCTCGATGTTAGTAAATAAGGTATTTATAGAGAAGTAATAGATAGTGTTATGATAAAAACACTCRTGCTGGTTTGTGCGTCATTAGTTAAAAAAGGTATATATGAAGGTTGTTTTTGAAGCATTCATCATGTAAGCCGATTTCTAACGCCACGCCTCTGCATAAATTCAACTTCCCCTTCAGGATACAATTTAACAAATGCTGCCAAAGCCCATTGAAATAGGAAGGTTTTAAATGAACATATAGCGTTGAGTGCATTTTTTTACAATTGATTTTATTACGAAACACTTTTACACTAACGCCAGTTCAATCGAATTAACTTGCTTTGATGGATTAATCACAAGAACTTAGACCATCTTCTCGGTGAAGAGATAGTTATTATGTGAAAAACAGTCTAATAGAACACAAGTGATTGATAGAATATGTCTCAGTCGGTCAAACCAAGATGAGGTCTCTCCATGTTTAGACGTCTATAAGTTTTGCCATAGTTAATCTCGATTAACTCTGGTTTTGCGGTTCACTAATGAGGGAGAGAAAATTGTGACCCGACCGCCTACACACGGCTGTCGCAGTTGTTATTAACAAGAAGTGTTATGCCTTTTTGGTATTTCTAATACTTGATTCATTGTCATATTTGTCTAGCATTGAAAAGACAGTACAAAATGATAAAATGCGCGAAACTGAACTACATTGGGCAAAACAGGAACAGTTGTCAACCAGTTGAAATAAGAATCAAACCAAGATAAAATCCAAAAGACATCATGTTTGGGTCTTTTTATTTACCAGACATGTACTCGTATGGTATTTCATGGAGCGAATGACATTACAACAAGATATTCTCGATAATACGGCTGTAATTATGTCTTAAAAAGATAAACAAACCACATACAGGTCTTTATTCTCCTTAGCTGTAAGGAACTTATCATTCGCTTGGTGATTTTCACTCGAAATGAAAATCGACTAAATGTCCGCACGCCGTCAAGACCAGACCATATGATAATAGAAGCCCAGTACAGACCTACCACACCCATCTTCTGAGAGATATCGCGTCATATTGCTCTTTTCTATTTACAAGCTACCATATAAACCTTATATAACTTGAAATTCTGACTTTTACTTAGTAGGTATAAAGTTATTGTATGCCGAAAAACTGCGGTACGTTTACTGTATTTAGGCGAATGTAATTGTACTCATGAAGATTCATTAAACATCAATTAACTCCATACTAAGGATAAAAACATTTAGTTTTTCTGTTTTTGAAAGTGTGGTTGATAATCTGACGTCCAGCAAGGGACGTTTATGAGCTTAAATAATCTTGTTATCAGATTTACACCATTTCTGTGCCTTTTCCAAACTTTATGTGATTTCTTAGTCATTATGTCAATAGCTGAAATAAAGCGTTTGCTCAGTTGCTTGTTTCCATGCAACTTTTTTGTGACTATGGAATTTAGTCTCTTTTTTGTCATGTTTTTTGTTTTTTGTTTTTGTTTCAATGACGCTACACGTCTACATGAGGAAGCTCCCTTTCAAGATTCGCGGTGTAAAGCGCACCTTTTTCYCCGTTTATCGTTAGGATAACACAAATGCGCCAGTAAAAACCTCCAATAGATGATACAACTGAAGTGGTATAAACATTTTATTCAGTTAAAAGACTTTATTTATCTTAAAAGCAGTGAACACGGTCTTTTGATTCAGTCGTGTAGGTGTTTTAATGTGGGAAGTAACAGTTGTCGATCACTGTACTTGCTATTCACGATGTCAATCACGCTATTCCAAGCCTTTTCAGAATGTCAATCTGAGAAACTTGTTCCTTTAATCCAGCTGTATAAATACCCTAGTCTGAATATCCATCTGAATACATGTGAATATATTTTATTACAGTAATTGACGGCAAAATGGCCTCAGGAGATACGTCAAGTATTGATTGTTCAGCCGGATGTCAGTCAAACTTGCTCCAAAAGGTTTATTCCTAAAGCTCACCACAAATAAGAGTGCTATACAACTTTTTATCTCTCTCAATAATGTCATTTGTGATTTAATTTGTGCTTGACTAATGTTAGTGTCACTTTAAGGGGTATTATCTAATGTTTTGACCGATTTCCTTATCTTTAAGACCTCAATAAGCTTTTCTTTTCAATTCAGTCCGGATGAGCCCTTCATAATAGGCTCAGATAGTCATATTTCGTCAATGTGAACACTCTGATTTCAGATCAAAATCACTTTTTGAGTACTTGTGCGTTTTTTGTTCTTGTTTCTCTACCCTGGTCTTACTAAGTCAGTTTCATTAACATTGCCAATTTTAAAAACATTTACGACCACAATTCCGGACATCAGCGAATAAAAGTAAAGTATATCAGTAATTTCAAAAATCATGCAATGTATTGTTGCTCATGAAATTCTGCCTTAGTTGCTTTAAAGAATGACACGATTCTCAATTTGATTGCTTTCCATTTCTACGTWGTTTTTGACTTTACGGAGCTGGTATTATATCACTTTGAAAATAACTCCTTTTGAACGGCAATAGAACGAGCAAAGCAGCCATGAAAACCTCGAATCGAGTTTCGAGTAGAACACTATCAATTTAAAACTCGCAGTCTCTCTTTGATTACTGCTGCACTGCTTGGCAACCTCGCTCGCAGACCGGCCTTCAAACGAAGAAGAAGGATTTGGGAACGAATTTTTGGTGTCACTCAAACTTTACCTATATGAAGTGGCTCCAAGAGTTCATAACAGTGGTGGTATATGGAATTTCGAGGAAAAGTAGTATTTTGTATGCTCTCAGCTAATGGACAAATTAACTGAGGTAACAAGGTTGCCATATCAACAACATCTTAATGTCTAGCAGAATAAAAACCTAGATGCAAATATAGTTGGAATGGAATTTTCCGTAACAAATATTCTACTGATTATTACTTTCATATTTTACTATTATAGTTTTGGGAAGATTTTTGACTAAATTTGACTCGTTTAGATGCGTTAATTCTCGCTTTGAACTGCTACGATTTTTACTTTCCATTCAATGTCCTAACCAGTTTTGGTCACTTGGTAGGCTGATAGGCTGTCCAATTTGATTCGTTTTTCAGGTAACTATTTATTTTGATTTTGTTTTAAATCTTAAAGAGGCTTAAATCCTCACTATATAACACGTATTGTATAACCTTGCAATGACAAGAGTTTCAAGAGCTAATTTAGCGTTCCGTCTATCTCACTTCCATTTTAAGGACTTTGTTTTGTCACAGTTTCGTAAAGAGGAAGTGTTCAATCACTACTGTCGGTCAGGCTCCATATGCCGCGTTATGTGCTGTATTCAATCCAAAAGACTACATACACTGACAATATAGAATTTGGCGCGTGTTAACCCAACCCAGTTCAGTGTGATGGTTCATCAAACTTTTACAGTGAACTTCAATGTCAGTAAGCTTAGTGGTTTTTAATTTCACTTGCAAAGTTTTCGAAATTCAGCGCTCACTTTCTGAGAGTGATGTCATATTGTGTGATGGAGTGTAGGATGTGACGAATAATGAGTCATGCATATTTGGCGTCATTTCAGTTCTCTTGTCGATTAGAAGCGTTTTTAAAGTACAGACCCTAGAGAACGTGCGGTATTGAAGAGGCTGTCTATCGAAAATATTAGCTAAACTGTTATATTTTATCCGTGTAAGCTATATCTTATCTCGTTTTCAAATGTGTTACGTGATGAATGAGAAGTTTTATTGATAATGCTATGAGAACTGGTTCGTTTTTAAGTAAATACAAATAATGATAAAAATCAGTGCGCCGTGCGCCGTCGCTTTCCTTTTACTCGTACTCGCGAATCCCAGAATGCATTGCTGACTTTGCAGTTTATCCATTTCCGGTCCCATCAAGATGGCGGACGACACATCGGATCGTATCCATTCAGAAGGTAACTTTTTATCATATTTTAGCCCTTTCATACCAGTTAGAACGACAATTATTACAAATTATGTCTACAATTTATCAATCTGTATTACTGTTTACTGATTTTTTCATTTATAATTGCGATTATATAAAGTTTTTGTTGGGATTTTTTTTGGTCTATTGCTGTAAAATAATCTAACAGCCCTGTAACCTGTGTATAAAGATGGTTAAGATTTCTTTAACGACGTTTTAAATCAAATGCTTGACTTCCATCACACGTTCATCACATATTTGATAGTCTACTATTTTTCAGTGATATTTTTTTCCMTATAAAAGCCGCAATCTTTGATATTAGTAACACGTTGTTGTCACGTCTTTTAGTAAACTATGACGAGGCAATCATAGCTCAGGTTGACAATATCCAGAAAGAGGTAAATATACTAAAAGGCTTGTGTTATGTAACATTTCTAAGGGTTAATACCTGATACCAGTACAAACATAATATATCATATATAATTGCTTCTTGTCCTTTGGAAAATTTCTAATGGCATAATTGATGGTTTTCAACCATTCCCATGAGAGTGAGCAAAACAAAAAGGTCCACCAGTCACGGTGGTGGTTTTCTTTTGTCAGGTCCACCAGCAATGGCGGACATCTTTTGTTTAACTTTCTCTCCTGGGAATGGTTGAAAACCATCAATAGGATAAGTTAAGTAATTTTTAGATTTAATATTGATTCTTTTACTTTGTCCTGGTCAACCCTTGGCTTTTGTTAATAGAACAACTGATAGCAGATTTCTTTCTCAGTGTTCTTGTGATATGTATCTAAGTTGTATTGTTTAGAAATAGACTTTATACAAGTAATTATTATATTATAGATTGCAGACACACAGGATTTGATAGGCAACAAATTAGATATTCTGAATCTCCTAAATGAATACTCCAATGACGACTTTATATATCAAGCTAAAATTAAGGTATGATGCTACACTATTTTATTTTCACACAAATACAAACTGGTCTCAAATTAAWTTTTTTCTTCTGTGTGCAGAATTTATCGCTGAGGTATTCCCATATACGAAAAACCAGAGGTGATGGGAATTGTTTCTTTAGGGCATTTGGTTATGGTTACTTTGAGAAGTTATTGGATGACAAAGYAGAATATGAAAGGTTTGTTTATAATCTTAACTATTATAATACTATAACTATATAGAGTGGRTATTTAAGAGACTTTTTTAGTAGACTAGATTTCTTCATGCTATGTAACAACCCATGCRAATTAGTATTATCTATTTTGTAGATTTAAATCCCTTGCTGGTAAAAGCAAAGATGAGCTAGTTTCTCTTGGTTTTCCAGCACTAACAATTGAGGATTTTCATGATGTGGTAGGTTTACTAATGATACAAAGCAATGTAAATCATTTGAAATGAAATTTATTTGTCTGATAATTGCATTATTTGTCAGTTCATGGAAACTATAGAAATGATTGGCAAGGAGCAATCAGCTGAAGAACTTCTTAAGGTAACATTTTAGAAAGGATATTGCTGCTACTACATAAGCTAACTAGTCTCTACAATAATGTTTAAAAATGTCTTGTGGAACCCAGTCTGGTTCTTGAATGAACAAAAGGCTTAGGAGGGCACTGGATTTAGTTTGCATTTGTGATGTGAAGAAACCACACATCTACAACTTGTGTTAAAAAAATATACGTTATCTGTTCTGTCCACAGACATTCCGTGATGAAGGAATATCAAATTACTTAGTTGTCTATTTGAGGTTATTAACATCTGCACAGCTACAAAAGAAAGCAGAATTTTTTGAAAACTTTATTGAAGGTGACAGAACAGTCAAGGAGTTTTGTAATCAGGTATGTCAAGGTTTGTTTGCTAAGTGGAAGTACATACTATTAATATTGTGATGTTTTTGTTTATTTAGGAAGTAGAACCCATGGCTAAAGAGAGTGATCATATTCATATTATAGCCCTAACAGATGCCCTTGGAATATGTATAAGAGTAGAATATGTTGACAGAACAGGGACAACAGATGTCAACCACCATGATTTTCCAGAAGATGGTCAAAAACCCCAGCTAACATTACTGTACAGACCTGGCCACTATGATGTTTTATACAAAGCTGATACTTGATGTCCATARAATGAGCAGAATTCAAAATGATAATATAATATTGCCTTCCTTTATGGAYAGTAATATTGTTTTTACACTGAACTTGCTGTTCTCTGATATTTTTTTCTTGCTATTTCAACCTAGCATTTTAAGTGATACAAGGSAAGAATTTCAACTTTCACAATTTAAATTTTAAAATAGTTAGAACTTGTCCATTGAAAAGGCCATTGTTATGRGTCCAGTCACACTGGTTTAACGTTTATTTAAATCAAAAAGATCCTTGTATTTGTTTGTACATATGTAGTGTGGAAATGAAAACTATTTTTCACTGCTTTGTTACTCAGATATTATTTCACATTGTGGTAGAATTTTCTGAAGATCTTGTATGGCATCTTGTCTGTTTTTTATTCTTGTAGTTCCAGATATATTCAGTCTTTTCAAGATTCTAGAAAATAAATATATTGTTTTGTTCACAATATTAATATTGTGTGTTGTGTATGTAGAGTGTCATCACAATAAATCACCAGAGATTCCTTGAAATACTGACAGCTTGTGAAATACATATCTAGGCCTAGCCTGCAACCAGTGCTTAAAGTTACTAGTTCAGTAAGGTACCAGAAAAAAACTCTGGATGTAAGGTCACAAATTGACTRCTAAGTAATCAGAAAAGCAAAATACAGGAGATAAACAAGAGTGTACAAATCTAAAAGTTTAAAAGACATGCATGGCTTTTGACTGAGTTGAAGTTTGCACTTCACTTACTTGAGCTGACCAAGAGGCATTATATCAGTTATTGCAGAGCAGTTAGCAATGTCGAGGTCCAAGAGTGTTTCCTTAACATGTTGGATCTTGGTGACATCAGTCACATACTTACAGTCATGTAGACTTAGATAGTCAAGATGCTCAAGACCAACTAAAATAGCATGATAGATAGTTATAAATAACAATTATTGCATTATTTGKGTTGTTAGGTACTGGACGCTATGCAATGAAATGGAAAATCTCTGATTGGAGATGATGGTTGTAAGCAGACCATTTGTTGATCTCTCAGTCATTTTCTACCCATTCTCTTAATTCCCTTGCATCCAATACTAACTATATATCATCAACAATTATATCATCTTATTAGTGACCTAAGTGTTCCAGGCCACCAGTCGTAATGCATGTCCCTTTTCCATCAATCTTTTGTAGTTTAAACTTTTCTGTTGGACCCATTTCAAGGGCATTGTAGTTCCAGATCCATTTATTTTGCTGCATAAATTTGATGCCACCTCCATTCCTCAACACCCATTCAGCAGCAACTCTAATAGAAAACAATCAATAAATATTTATAAGTAACAAATGTAAAGCATTTAATAAAATCTTTTTCACCTGTCAGGACCAAATTCCTCTATTCTACTTGTATCAACTCTGAAAAAAGATAAAAAAATATGTTTTCATTGTTTATGTGTCACATCAGTAGATAACAACTCAACTCTTTTTGCCTCTAGCTATCTAATAATATTTCATCGTATTCACCTGTTGAATACAAAGTTTAACCACATGTAGTATGATCTCTTAAAGAATGCTGAAGCCTCAAGGTGGATTCTTGGTTGGATCAGATGTGAAAGCTGCAAAAATTCAAAATATATAAATGAAATCTTACAGTATGCTGGCATGTTGACTRTCACTTTTTTTAGTTGATTTTACCCTGTTCATTGCTCCTTTAGTTCTTGATAGAGAGAATTAAACTTATATGGGTTTTCCTTGGTTTGCTCACATGTTGAAATCACTTGATATTTATCCACCTTTTCTCAGTTTTAGTACAACCATGAACTCCGCTGACTACTTGAACAGCTGTCTCAGCTTGTCTGAGGACACGTGATCGCTCACGAAGCAGAGACGCAAAGGAAAGATGGCTACCGTAGCAGAGTTGCAGAGAGAAGTCGAAATTGCTCGAGAAGGGTTGCGAAATGTCGACGAAAATATCAAGAAGCTTACYGGAAGGGATCCCTCGGAGTTTAGGTAGGTTAACGTTTTGTAAAAATATATTGCCAGCYCGATAACACAGCATAAAAAKTGCTTTTGTTGACACGTTCAKAGTGAGAGATGAACACGCGTTYATCGATCGATACGGGCATAAAGAACTTCAATCTTTCATCTTGTTAATTTTGGCAATAAATTTAAAGGAATTATGTTTCTTGATTTTATTCTGATAAAAATTGAAGTTGACTGAAAGCAATGAATGACCTTTGCAGACCGATGGCTGCAAGACGAGTGAGTCTCAAGAGAGACTTTGGTGAGAGGAGCAGTGGTGKTCGTGGCTTTGGTCCAGCTACAAAGAGACAGGATGCACAAGGACGGTAAGTATTTCTGCTTCAAAAAGTTGACGAGTAAAGGATTTACATGTGAACTTTTTAGAGTAAGATTCGTTTTCTTTGGTTCAGACCAAAGATCAGAAATCTTCCGACTGCTTGTCGAGTAGAACCTAGCATACGAGCTTATAACTTCAGCATGTTGCACGAATATTCCCAATTGTCCAATTARTCCATCTATTATTGATTAAATATCTCATTGGAAGCTTGACACACTCTGTTATACCATTGAAATCGTCAACAAACGCCTGTGAACTCGATGCCATCCAGTTGATGTCATCCAACTTTGTTTTAAAACTATTCAAAATGGTATTCAATGCTGTTTATGATATGATGCTTTTTGTCTCAGGTTGTGGAGCCGCGTGGTTGTAACAAGAAAATCCCAAGATGATGACCACCCTTCTCGACGACTGGATAGTGATGGCGAAGAAGAAGAAGATGCACCCAAGGTTAATAGCAATTGATTTGCTCTTTATCTTAAACAATGAGTTATACTTTTCATGTGATGCAAATAGTTATTATATTTATGCATATTCAAATGCTAATCTTTGTTTTGCAGCCTGCTATCCAGTCCTCTGTAGTTGCTACTAATACTCCTTTGCGTCTCAAAAGAGAAGATGTTGTAAAGTCTGACGAGAAAACGAAATCAAGGTAATTTTTAACTTACATGCAAATGTAAAGTATATTTGACATACATGCAGTTCTTGTATAAAGTATTAAAGTTACTTGTACTAAGTTCATCTGTTGATATTTCAGGAATAGACGGATGTTTGGTATGCTTCTAGGAACATTACAGAAATTTAAACAAGACAGTGACTGTAAAACTGAAAAGGTAAAGTTGTAATGATAGCAGTGATTCAAATGTTGACCTTAMTTTAATCATCATTCCCATACTAGGACGTAAGAAGAGAAGAAATAAACAAAAAACTAGAAGAAGCAGAAACTAAGGAGAAAGAAGAAGTACTCAATCAGAAAAGAGAACTATTCACATCAAGAAGAGCAAAACAGGCAGAACTAAAAAAACTAGAATGGAAGATGGAGATAACAGCATTAGTAAGTCTCAAACTCATTGGTCATTTTCACCCATTCCCAAAAAGATAAAAGACCGGCGGCCATKTTGGAGGAATGAGCAATAGATACTAATGAGAAATCCTTTGTTAAATTCCTCCAAGATGGCTGCTGTGACGTAACCTGCAAACAAAAAATTAGCTTTGTAACTAATTAAGTTAATCCTGTTTGGATTGATTTGCTTCCAGCAAGAGGAATGGGACAACAATGGTAAAAGACTGTGTAACTTTATCAAGACAAGAGCAAAACCACATATTCATTATCTCCCAGCAAAACATACAGAAAAAACTAAAAAACTGCTCGAAGAATCATCTAGAGCAAACAAACGTAAGTGTTTATACAACCCTATTTTCTTGAAATATGTTTTTCCACCACCTTACATTTTTATGTAGGAAATAATTTTGGAAGTGAAGTACTTTCTATGATTTGACAAAATATAGTTTAATTACAAATCAACCTCTATTGTTTCATAGGATCCATGGCAGAACGTAGGGCTGTAATAGAGGAAGAGCTTCAAGCTCTGGCAGAAATAGAGAAATCTTCAAAAGATGAGGGTAATGATGGTGAGGGTAAGAATGAAACAGTGGAGATAGAAAAGCAAGCAAATGCTGGTGAAGACAATGATGTAGACATGGATGAAGAGAGACAAAATAGTCATATGAGTATTTCAGAGGGTGGGGATACAAGACAGGTGATAATAAAGAAAGAAAATGGAGAGAGTATGGAGTTAGGAGAGTAGAGATTTGTATGGTGAGAGAAAGTAGYCAAACTGTAAGTTTGTTTATGTTAGTGTCCTGTATATTCTCATGTACTTTTTGTGTGTTTTCTCTATGTTTTCATGTTCTTTCTTGTGTCTTGTTTGTGTATTGCATCTATTGTCATTGATTATTTTAGAAAATACTAATGTGAACTACAGTAAATGGATGTACTTGACTTTTATCACTATTTTATTTAATATGGAGAGCCAATGTATGTCAAATATCTAAATTCTCACCATTACAATGGAACAAATTCATGGACATTCACTTCATACCACATCATATATTCTATACACTTATGACTTCCATTTGTTTTTAATTTTAGTCGAATCTGGTGATCAAATCGTTATAAAACTGTTTTGCTTTGTGTTTTTGTGCTTGTAGATAGACTGTTTTGATGTACTATTGTATTAAGGATATTTATCTTTATTCATATTACAGGATTTTAGGCATATTGTATTTAGACAAATATACTGATGTTCTTCTTACAGGCAAATGTAAAAGAAATGATGTAATAAACTGCTTCAAATTGCAGCCAGTCTCAGTTTTATTTGTAGTGCACCAACATAAAAGCGCGTTTGTTTTTGGTGTGTTGCAGAAATGATGAAAAATGGTGATTTCCCCACAACTTCGAAACAATTTCTAAACTTCAAGTCCAGAAGTTTSTTGATGTTTCATAGATGAAATRAAATTGCAAAATTGATATTTGGTAGCTTTTCAAATTGTAGACCCAAAATTCTTCGTAAACATTTTATTAACAAAACAATTTACAACAATTTTAAAGGGATTGATATTCACGAATTACATGAATTCAAGCAATTCTATTCAATTGCTTGCATTGATGTGCAAGACACGTTGCACCTTACGGCATTACAGTCSTTTCCWTGTCAACAACTGCCCCGTTTATCACAAGTTGCAATGACTAACTTTGTACCCATGTACGCTGTTTTCCTTGTTCCATGTGTGCATGCCTGCTGAAGCAATGCGTTTCCCCTTCTCGCAACACTGAACTGACGCCCTGGATAGCATGCGGAAAAGATTCTCGTTTCTTTTGTTGATCACCTCCAGTTGACGTTGCTTTTCTATTCGACCCTCCTTCAAATTGCGTTCTTTTTCTTTAAGCTTTCTGCGGAATTCTCTACTGCAGTCCTTATTCTTTTCTCGTCGTCTTATTTGCATTAATTCCTTTCGTTTCTAGAATAGTGTGCAAAAGGGGTGTCAGTRCAAAATGAGAAACATACCTCCGTCTTCAATTACAATTTTAATTACAGTTCTTTTGCACCGACTCGCCGTTCATGAGGTGCTAGTTTTACTGTAGTTGTGACAATGCATTGCGGGCGGATTATCGTACGTTCTTACTGCATTACCTGTTCTTCGATCACAGACTCATCTACAGTCATTTCCGCTTCTGTAAATCCACTAAAATCCTCGAATGGCGATTTGGTTCTTGATTCCTGCTGACTGGAAAGAGTGCTGCTGCTATTGGCATATTGACTATCACTGGACTGATTTGGCAATGGATATTCCCCAAAATGTTGCATCGGGATCCCTGCCAGCATGTAGGTTTTGTTATTGTCGCTCAAATGCATAGAAACTAAACCTATTTGAAGTAAGAAAAAAATTAATAATATAGGGGCTGTATGCATCGATGCAATTTGAAGGCCTTTGCCACCGGTGCGATTAGCAGGCACRGCGGAGCAGGSMAWWAAWKTTATTTTGTCTTACCTTCAGAAATTTGAGGTAAGTATTTGCGGTCCACTATCATGTACTGCTGTCCGTCGTTACCCATTTCCACGCGAAAAGGATGCGMTTGAGCATTGGAGTAAATTTGTGGCATTGCCATTACTTCACAAAATGTGTGCGTGGTGCTTCCTTGATCCTTTGCCGGCATCCAAGTTGAAGGAATTTGTTGCATGCTTTCAGCACACACACCATCATTCCTGCAAACACATTTTGAAATATAAAACGATACGAATGGTATCCTACATTTATGGTGGATAGTGTGAGCTGCGTCGGGATTTCTAAAGAAACAGTTGTGTAAATGGATTTAACACAGTAAAAAGATAGTTGAAACAACTTACTGATAGTTTCTGACGTTAATCCTTCGTCGGAGTAAAGAGTATATTAAGCTTAAAGTCATTGAGATAGGGCACATTATATTGATTTGTTTGAGTAAAAATTGAGCAAATAGAAACTATTTGTCCAGGTGTTACAGTTACAGACATGCAAATGATTTTTTTTTCTGAATGATATGTTAATGCTTACATTCCTTGTTCAGGGCCACCTATGGCTTTAAAAGGAGACGTTTTTGGTTGTTCATACAAACATACGGTTTCCTGCTCTTGATCACTTGTACAATTTGGTGTTGATGTCCATAAACTGTTTATTTGAGTTTGAGTGCAGTATGAACGTGGCAGAGATGAGGTTGCGGTGGAGTTCACAGACTTTGAATCTGTATGAACACAAACAGTATTACGTTCAATCAAATTAAAAAGATGCATTCACCCTACTTCAGTTTGAAAAAGTTTACAAAACTTGGATGAAGCCTCTAAAGCCARAAGACAATGAAAAAACAAGAACAACAAAATAAGCAAAACATGATGTGGCTTGAGAACATCGTTTAAAACAACACAAATAAATGAAAATAATAAAGAAAATTTAACATGCACGAATTTCAAACTCAACGGTAAGTTCAGTGTAAGCGAATGTCTAAGCTTATTAAGAACAGTGAAGCTGGTATGCGTACCTTTAAATAATTGAAGCTTGTCGTTTTCATCTTCCGTTTCTTCCTGCATTAAACTCCGTCCATTTTCATTAGTTGAATAAAGTCTTGGACTCAGCCTTAAAGTACTTTTGAACTCTTCATTCCCATCCACTTCAAGCCAATATGATGTCGGAGATAACTCTCTTTCTATATTTTGGGAGCTTGAAATGAGCAACAACAGGGAAAATGTCACTCGAAGTGGTACTCATAAGTTACTTACTTATTTCAAACATTTTTGTTTTAAAAACAAAGCACAAACACTAGGTACTCACATTTCATTCGGACCAAGTAGTGTAGAGCTCCTGGTTGTGTCAACAGCAATGTGTTCATTTAGAGGTGAATTTCTTTCGTATTCAGAGGTTAAATCCGTTGGAGAACAGTACTGTTCAAAGTCGGTGAAACCCAAGGGAAAACTCTGACTGTTGTCAATATGCAAACTTGAATTGTCAGAGCAACTGTGGTTAGAGCATTCATCTATTTCGAACTCTCCGATAATGCTCATGATATCTGTACCCTCGAAAGGACATTTATAACGACCAGAAATAATAAAAACTGATAAAAATCAAGGCACCAAAGATATCAACAAAAAGAGAAGTTTTTCGGAATCGCCTTCAACTGACCTTGAACCTGATTGGTTGGTTGTTTTGCACGTTTTTGTCCAATCAAAAGTGAGAATAACCTGTCAATCTTAAAAACACTGAAAATGCTTTATTATCAGTTTTCCTACTTCCGGGTGTGGAGTGTACGTGTTTTCAGTAGGGTCTCGTGTTTTCCTGGTAACTTCAAAATGAAGTTCAGATGACAGATGTATACTATCTTCCAGTATTTAGACTACAGCACGAGTAACGTTGCTAGTTAGCTAGTTTATTATTTTAAACGACATCAGGAGCTCCTGACGACATCATTGTTCTGAGAATTTACTAGTAAAAGAGAAGTAGCCTAGAAAGCACTTTTTTTCCATGTCATTCCGACATTCCAAGTCCAGACCTTGTGCAGGCTTACAGTGACTCATGAGATTGCGTTATTCGTTTGGCACCGTTTGGCGGGAACTTACGCTGCGCGCGCCGTGCAGAAGTGGTACGCTCGTCACGCAAATGAAACATCCAAATATAAGTTATCATAAGCTTGGCGAAGAACATTGACAAATATCTTTGCAGTATGGACAGCGACTGGAAGTGTTTAGTTGACGAAATGTGGGAGTCTTACTTATGCGAAGAAAATATAGGCGCCTCAAGGTATGATGTGTCTTGAATGGGAAGCTTGACGCTTGTTAAATGAAAGAATTATTCTCTTAGGTATAACACGTTAACTTTAAGATGACACTAAAAAAAAATACTTTTATCAATTGTAGCTTTTATGAGGCGACCTCTTCCGACCCCTTTTCAAATATGCATGATGTGCAATTTGACCAATCCTACTTATTTGAGGAAGCCAAGCTCGTGTTTGAAAATCATGATGCAGAACAACAACAAAGTTGTCCAAAAGACCAACACTGCGAGCCGCTGGAACACCTTTTTGAACTAATGCAAAAGGGAACATTGCTTACCAGCCACGAAGAACTTGAAAACAGCAACGATAAAAGTCAGTATCAGCTTAGCTATTTCTTTACAATTACAAAAATCATCATTAATCAGCTTATTTTACATTTGACTAGCTGTTGAACCAASATTTTCATGTGAAAACCAAATGGCTACATACCAAGAAGAAAACAAAAAGAAAGATGCAGAAACGAGCACAAGAAAAATGAAAAAAGTAGTGGTAAAATTCTGTCTTTTTTATTTTGCAAATCTTCTTACCATACATTTCAAATTTTATTATGCAAAATGTACATTTGCAGACTTTGAGCTGCAAGTTATTTATATATCAAACTGTCTTAATCATTTCAAAATTTAAAATTTATTTAAAACGTTTATTGCAGAAGGCAAGATCTGGTGAAAAAAGAAGGAGAAATAGCTATAAAAAGAGATATCATCCACATGTTACCAAACTGAAGAAGGAATAGTTTGATTTACAAACTGTTGTTCCATAGCATATTGAATGCCATCATTGTTGAAGGATATCRTTCCTGGATGTTATGAATCATCAATTCCAGCACTAGAGGTCCTAGAGAGGTCTACTGTTGTAATACTAATTTCTTTCATTGACTGAATAATATTCAATAATTCTCTTTTATTTTGAATAATTTTCTTTTTTTGAAATATGATACAAAATATATTGTAAGATCTATATAAGAACTTTTGTTCAAATATTATCWTCTATTCATATTGCACAGTTTGATCTGGCAAGTTCCAAAGCCCCTATTATTCCTGCATCATTTCCATATGCAGATTGTCGAATATAATCATCTAGCCCCTCTTGTGATTTGAATTTATCGACATCAAGATACCCCTTCATAAGTTTTTGAAACCAATGTCTTGTTTTGTCATAYAACAAKGTGCGCTTCATGATTCCTCCACCAATAACAATAAAATGGGGTGAAAGAAGATAAGTAATATTCAGACACAGAGCCCCCAAGTAGTACCCTACTTTATCCCACACTGCATTGCTGTCTTCTATTTTGTGGAGACTCAGCTGATCTACGCCTGCTCTTTCTGATATTGCTTGTGAAGCAATAAATCCCTCTACRCAGCAGTAATGRYTAAACTTACAACACCCTGGATAATCGTCACCAGGCATTTTCGGCACCAGGATATGACCCCCTTCTGGGTGGAGCAGGCCATGTACTGGGTTTCCATTTATACTGATTCCAACACCTACTCCTGTACCAACAGTTATATAGACAACTGTGGGTTTTCCACTGGTTTCTGCTTTCCTATTGTTATTGTGAGTTGTTTCTGCCATTGCCGGTGCGTTCACGTCAGTTTCAAATGAAATGGGAGTCTGATTACCAAGCATGTCCCTGAAGTATGAGACTACATCGACATATTGCCATTTGTCCTTCGGGGTACTTGTAATGAAACCGTAAGTTTTGGATTCTTTGTCCAAATCAACAGGACCAAATGAGGCGATGCCTACAGCATCAAATCGATCAATCTTAAGGTCGTCAAGCTTGTCTTTTAGAAACTTACTCAGTGCTGACAGCGTTTCCTCTTTTATTGTAGTAGGGACTTCTGTACGATGAAGAAGTGACGTTGGATTGCTTCTCTTTGCTATAGCTGCATTGCATGTTGTGCCTCCGAGCTCTATRCCGGCAAGATAACCATCAGAAGACATATTTCCGTGCTTTATATTCCTCAACAATCACCACTGCACTTTTTYCCTTCGATCGACACTTTGAAACGCAGGAGAAAATGCACGTGATTCATGCATTGTTGGACCCCTGGGACAAAGGCCCATGCACAGGAAGCCCAAATCGGCATTGGTTTATAAAGAACGTTAGAATTTCTTCTTGTGAATCAGTAATCTTACATCAAGAGTTCATAAGAAGCGAGCATGATAAAATTTTTCATTATTTGGAAGTTTTCATTTTTTAGAAATGTTTGATTAAAGCGAAGATTTGATGTGTCAAAGAGCCTGCGTTCCTTTTGGTCTGCGTCGAAATCGGCCTGCATATATGATTCTTCCCTGGCACGCGATAAACCATTCAGTCAGACATCACAACTAGCTGAGGTAAACATGACAGAGAAACTTGCRGAATACGGATCGTGGGTCAGTCCTATTTCTAGCGATTTGCTGGTMCAAAAATCCATCAGTTTGCAAGAAATAAGAATAGATCCACTTGATAAAGGTAGGGCACTGTTATTTGATTGAATTTTCAAGTAGATTTTTTTAAAATTCCAGTCTTGCAGAAAGCGCAATTGTTGCTTTCATTTTCATTACCATTTTCATCCTTTGATGATTTATCTAAGTTTATACGCTACTATAAAGCATTTTTTTCTCCTCGCAAAAAAACGATAAAAAAACGATATGGAAATACTTGGTTCAGGTTCCATGGATATTTGAGGATATAGTAAAAAATRTGAGCTCATTAATGATAAGAATGGCGATCCTGGGGATAGAAAAACAAAYGCAGACCTCACAGGGGCAAACTGGTCATACATAAACAGACAGATAAATGTCAATGTATCTCAGTAACCTTGATTGCTTTCCAAAGAAGCATTTGTTTCCAAGTCAAATATTGTTTTTGCATTAAAAATGGGCTTTAACTGAAGAAAAAATATGTTACATCTGAGGTGCTATGTAGATAGAGATCTTGAAACAGGAGTATTGACACAGCCTATGCAATGGTGATTTTCTGACTTTGGTCTGTTTATCTTTTTTACAAGGATTTGTTTACTGGTCTGAAGGATTACCTGAGGAAGGTGGCAGGATAGTGATTTGTAAGTTGAAGAATGGRAGCAAAGACTTTGAGGTCATTACACCTGATGGTTTCTATGTAAGAACAACCGTTCATGAGTATGGTGGAGGAGCATTTATTGTGCACAACAAGAAAGTCTACTTCTCAAACTTTGAAGACCAAAGTAAGAACAACCGTTCATGAGTATGGTGGAGGAGCATTTATTGTGCACAACAAGAAAGTCTACTTCTCAAACTTTGAAGACCA